GGGCGCATGCAGCGTGGATTATCACACTACAATTCAATTTACCAACAATGTCCAAAAATAAATTCCTTTTTCGACCACCCTTACGACCCCTCCCGACCTCCTCTACACCTTGACAATACCTTCATCTAATACAACTTTTTGCGTACTTTCCAAGAAAAATACAGCCGACCCCTTGCACCGCAACATACGCCCCCAATCGGTGTTCGAAACACCCTCCCAGAGAGCAAATTCACGCTAAACTTTTACATTCAATGCGCTGTACTTCAGTCAAAAACCAAGCTCATGGCCAAAACACCAACAATTCCTTAACAACTTTTTGCGTTCTTTCTAACAAAAATACTGCCAACCCCCAGCGACGCACCGTTCACCCATAATCGGCGTCCATAACAATCTCCCAGAGAGTATCTTCACGATAAAACTCCCACATTCAATGCGCTGTTCTTCCGTCAGAAAACAAGCAAACAATCCAAAAAAACAACCCTTACCGATACAACTTTTTGCGTATTTCCCCTTACAAATACAGTTGACCATTACCGACGCACAGTTCACCCGCAATCGATGTTCAAAACACTTACCCAGAATAAAATTCACATTCATCTTCCACATTCAATGCGCTGTACTTACATCAGAAACCAAGCTAATGACCCAAAAAACACCACTTCCTGAATAACTTTTTGTGTTCTATCAAATAAAGATACTGCCAACCCCCTGCAACGCTCCGTTCACCCGCAATTTGCGTTCTACACACCCTCCCTGAGGGCAAATTCACGCTAGACTTCCACATTCAAAGCACTGTACTCCCGTCAGAAACCAGCCAAATGACCCAAAAGTTACTCCTTCCTAAACATAATTTTGTTTTCTTTCCAATATAAAATCTGCCGATCCCCTACGACGCACCGTTCGACTGCAATCGGCGTTTAAAACACCGTCCCAGAGAAAAATTTCACGCTTTACTTACACATTCAATGCACTGTACTTCCCATGCACATTCTACTTCCGCCGAAGGAGAAGGAAATATACCCGAAACGATATCAATCAAACATGCGCGATATAATTGATTTTTTTCTAGGCAAACAAAATCGATCATTTCTTATCTCTTCTGCTTTTCAATTGTATACATTATATTTCAAGGGAGACAATAATAATGAAAATACAAAAATACTGCTAAATCATATGTGATAAATTTTTAACATTCCGATCCAACCATTTCTTTGTTGACTTAACAATACACGTGCATTTGCATTTGATCATAATTAAATTGTACCGAATCGATTTATTTATATCATTCGAAATGTGGCAGACGTTGAAAAATATTTCTACATTTGGCTTACGTTGAAAACCAGTTCTACACTCGTCTTATGTCGAAATATAGTTCTACATTTGACTTGATGTCGAAATATAGTTCTTCATTTTTGACATGATGTCGAAATATAGTTCAACATTTGACTTGATGTCGAAATAAAGTTCTACATTTGACTTGATGTCGAAATATAGTTCTACATTTGACTTGATGTCGAAATATAGTTCTACATTTGACATGATGTCGCAATATAGTTCTACATTTGACATGATGTCGAAATATAGTTCTACATTGACTTGATGTCGAAAAATAATTCTACATTTCACTTGATGTGAATATTTTCTCTGCATGTCTAGATATGCATCATCAGAAAAATTAATAATTTACGGTAATTTAATCAAAGAAAATTATTGAAAATAATAAATTTGAATAGTTTTAATCACAGTTTTGCTTCAACGTGCAAGTGGCGCACTTGCAGTTTTCTTTTTGTAAAAATGGTGCAGTCCCAGATACCTGCATAGGAGAGCTTCTGATTGGGGAAAATTTGAATTTGAGCGCAAATTCGACACAATGCGCCCAATTGATGTGGGGTTTGGAATATCGCGGCCCGGCCAGCAATAGTGCCTCAGGGAATTTAACTCCCAAAAATGGCTACTATTGAAGAACATTAAAAGAGGTGTAAAGCACTAGTTAGTTTCCATCTAGCTCAGTTAGGCCGACAAGGGCCGCCAAAAGCTGCCGATTTTTGTTTATAATAAAAATATGTAAATCATTTCACGTCCTCACCTCATCCAGCATTTGGCCGGCAAGGAAAGCAAGAGGAGAAAGTGAGAGTGAGCGCGAGAGGGGCCGCGATCAGCGACTCGCCTGCATTATTAATAAATATGCAATCAAGCACGTGCTGCACTTGAGGCGCTGCAATTATATTTTTGTACGCATTTTTACTTCTGCACCATCCCAAAATGCACGAATGGTGTAGTTTGTTTTTTAAAAAAAAAAATACATTTCATAATCATTTCTTTTTCAATTTTCAAATTTTATGTATCGACTGAGAAGAATAAATAATATTGATATATTTCGTGCTTTTTATGTGTAGAAATACGCAAAATTTCAGTGTCAAATCCAACTCACGCAAGTCTGAGCATCCAATCCCTCGTTTCTCCGTAAAGTTCCTTATACATCAATACAGAAAAACAAAACTCTGAAAGAGGTAGTAATGCATTTAATTGATTCAGTTGTTTTACCCAAAATTCAAATCAAGTCACTGAAGTAAAAATCTGATAGTTGATTCTTTAAGACGATGATGTGAAATAAATAACTTACTTACGGTACATATATAGCTTACCAAGAATTTTAAGAATTATTAAACAATTTCCTATCATTAAGTTTTTCCTATAAAATTAATAAATTTTTTTTCATATATATATTTTGAGAACACATTCATTTATTGCTATATTTTATAATATATAATGTAAAAATTAAAGCAATGCACATATCTTGAGCAGATTTCTTCAGAAAGAGGCTAACCGAATATTGAGGGCGATCCAAAAGGCTAACTTGGCCCAGGCTAAATTAACCTGGCCTGGGCTAATTTAACCCGCCATTCAATTTTGCTGGTGGGCTAAGTTAGCCCTGGGCTAAGTCAAGTTAGCCTGGGCCAGGTTAGGCTTTTGGATCGCCCTCATATTTGTTTTTTATTATTCTTCATATTAAAAAAATAGAAGCATTTGGAATAAAAGTTATCAAAAATTGAAACCATGCGTAAAAAAATATACACGAAACAAGATAATGCATTTCAGAACCCAGTCTTTACATTTCTTTAAACTGTTTTTGCTATAATAAAATAGTAATTCTCTTCACAAAATGCATAATATGAAATTGAATCTATATTTAGTCCATTTAACGATATCTGTATGTAACTAGGTGCAGAGGAATCGTCTTAACTCAACGTTAAAAAACCGAATGTAAGGCTATTTTAAAAGCTGCTGTATGTATATTTGCAAACAGACAACAATATAATTCAACGGTAGCAATAAAATAATATGTGAAGCTAAATACTTTTTTGTTTTTTAGGTCAGGCCAAGACAAGCGTCTTATCGGCCTGTGCCCTTGCAGAAGGCAAGCTCTTACATTTTTTAATTGGGTAATTTTTGTTATTATTGTAATTGTATTATTATGAAGCTGACTTTGCTCTTGAAACAAGGTCGATCTTGCTTTTGTTGGGACAAAGAGGCTTTTGCCGGTCGTGGATGAAAAAGTATATTGAGTTGGTGTGGGCAGGGGTGTGGCTGCGCTGCTTTTTCCTTTTTTCATTGCACGGCTTAAGGGTGTCTGAGTCAGAAAAGAGCAGACAGACGATAAAAGCGGTGTGCGCGCGGTGCTCGCGGCCACACCGTCATGAGACTCGCCGGCGTCCTCTGCTCGCTGCTGCTGCTCGCCGCCGTCCTCCACCCACCAAAGTAAGCACACTCATTTTTCCTCCTTGAAACAAAACCTCAAAAACATTTTCCAATATCCTGCAAAACTTTTTCGCCCCTGTCTGAATCGACGCCTTTTCTGAATACTATTTCATTTTGGCCTATTCCCAAACTTAATTTGTTAATTATTTGGAAATAACAATTAAAATTGCAGAGTGGCTGGACTGTCCTGTCCGGACGTGTGCGTCAAGTCGCGGTGCGAGCGGCTCAAGTGCGCCTACGGCAAAATCAAGGATGTTTGCAATTGCTGCGACTTCTGCGGAAACGTGAGTTCTTTTTATCGGCAAAAACCACTTCCGCCCCGTTCTTTCCTCCGAGTGACGTAAAAGTATTCGGTGCGTGCAAAGCCAACAATTCAACGCGAATGCAATTATCTAATCAAAATTTAATTTGGAAATTTTGTTTTGACAATGAGGAAGCGAATGATTATACAGTCCTCGGCTCGCAATGCAGCGGCCCTTGGAATAGGTCAAGATTGGTCCAGATGCACACAAGCGAAAAGCAATTATTTCATCAGCGACCGCGCAGTGCGTTCCCAGTTTTGGAGTCATTTTAAAATCAAGCTGGAAAATTCCATCCAGTTTCTGTCCTATTTAATATTCCAAGTATTACTTTTTGTGTGGAACAAGAATTTGAATTTATCTTGAATTTATTCTCCTTTCATTAATTTAACGTCACCTTGAAAATTTTTGCGAGTAAAAATAGCAAAGGTTGGATTTGTTTTCAACATAAATAAATTTAAAATGTGCAGAATTAAATATTTTCAAAGCATAAGAACAAATTGCAAGTGGTGCAAATAAAATTTGTGTTACTAAAAATATTTTGAAATAAAAAAATTTTTGGCAGGGCCCGGGTGAGCAGTGTGGGGGCGAGTTTGGCATTTTGGGGATGTGCGGCAAAGGGTTGGAATGCGTTTCAAACGAGGCGTTCGAACCTGCGGCGTTTCCCGAAGGCACGTGCGCGTGGAAGAAGTTGCCGCCCGGACTCAAGTTCCAGCGGCCAGCCAAGTGGACCTGGAAGCAGCACAACAGGCCACACTGAGATTTGTTCCTCTTAATAATAAAGCAAAATTGGACTTTGAATTTTTGAAAAAAAAAACAGGTAATTTGATTGCATCAGAAGGAAAATTTCTGTGTGTTGATAAAATATATGGCCATATATTTATTAATTTTGAGTCACAATAAAATGAACGTCAATTATGCAACAACTAAACATATTAATTTGAAGCATCAACCACACTTCTTGAGGTTGCAATGAAAACCAACAATCCCTCAAATTTCTCTTTTCAATTCAACTAGCTGGCGATTTTTATAGCCAGCTTGGATGTTCACATTTTGTTGACCACCAAAATAATCTCTGTATTTCAACTTAAAAACTGAATCACAACTCTGTGGTACATATCAATAATTATTCAACTGCCTAAGAGTTATTTTCGTGAAAAACATAGAGACACTCTTGTTTGATATATTATCACATCAGTCAACGTTCGTGACAAACTATTACATTGTGTAAAAAGGGACCCAAGATTTTAAGGCATGTACGATTGAAAGTGGTTTTTTCCACTTTTACAAAATTAAGACACAACACACCAACGGAAGAAGCTGCTTGTCTGCCTCTCTCCGAGCAGCCCAGTTTTTTCCTTCAATTGTACGGAATATGAACTTGAAATGAATTCGGAAAGTGGTCTTGCTTGCTCCAGACCAAACAGGTATAAAAAGAAAAAAAAAAAAAAAATATAAAGTTACCCCGATGTCCGACTCCTTTTCTCTTCTACCAAAAACGTAGAAAACTAGAGTGGCCACACTTGTGGTTGTCTGCAAAGCACACTCGAATGCGTCTTTCCTTCTGCAGAGAACCGACTAAGTGCAAGTGTGCATTCCAAAAACTTGTAAAGCACTTTTGTGTTTTGTTGCCGACCGTGGCGGCACTTTCAGTGAAGCGAGTAAGTTGGCGACTGCGGCGACGACGGATTCGATGACTGGCCCTGCTGCTCGGTGACCGCCCGCGTCGCCTGCTCGGGCAGCTTCAAAGGGTCCGTCAGGATGTCCGTGGCGGTGCAAATTTTCTTCAAAGCGTTCAGCACGGCTGCAAAATTCAATTTTCATTAACAATTATGCTCACAGCCTGAACCAAGATAAGCTCAAGTGCCACTTTGGGATCAGAACCAAAGATATGTCTTAAAACAATATCCTTCCAAAACTTGGCAATTGCTTTTGGCCAATTTCCAGCGTTTGATTGAGGAAAAAAAGGGGCACGCGACTTATTCTTTCCACAAAAGGTATTTAATCACCTGGTCTGAGCTCGGACAGGGTGCAGTGCTGCTCCACCCACTGCATGACCGTCCTGACCATCTCGTCCAGACTGGACGTTGACACGGTGGCAGAGTAGGAAACCAATAAGGGGCGCATCAGAAAGCTGAACTGTTCTCTGGTTAAGGGGAATCTTAGCAATTGTTAAATGGGCAGCAAAAGTGGAGAATTTCTATTTGCAAGTTATATGATGAACGAAAAGTGAACCATTTTCTGCGCTCAGCTTAATTTTACCCAAAACTTTGGCTTTGTTTTCAAATGTGACTCAATTTGACAAAGCGCAATTTCAGGGGTGGTAAACTTCAGATATTATCATGATTTAAAAATTAATTAAGTTCACGCTATGGCAAAATCATTTGACCCGCAGGCAGATCAACGAAAGGATACAACCCAAAACTTCCAGTTCTGCAGGGTGCGTAACCTGACGTAGTCGTCGAACATCTCCATCATCCTGGTGGCGCGCTGGTGGGAGACGGGGGCGCCGGACGCGGGCAGCAGGGCCTGCACGTTGCTGATCGAGGTGTTGAGCGAGTCGATCTCGGCGCGCAGCAGGGCCACCTCGTCCTTCAGGGTGTTGCGGTCCTGCCGCAGCTGCTTGATGTACTCAGCGCCCTTGTGCAGCAGCGCCGCCTTGCTCAGCTGCAATTTTGCGGTCAGACGAGAGAGAGAATGACAAGGAAAGGAAACGAACCTTGGCGCTAGGGCTTTGGCTGATTTGGGGGATGAGCGACTGCAGCGTCTGGAAGCCGCTCTGGATGTTGCAGCGCCGCTTCTGCTCTGCGTTGATGTGACACACGCGCCGCATTTCCTTTTTGAAGGCAAATGATATTTAAATTGGTTGCATTAAAATAATTTTCAGGAACAAAATGCCACATCAAATTCGCAATTAATCCTAATTGAATCGGCACTGCAGATGCAAGTGCCTTCTTTAGCACCTAAAGAACGAGTAACTGAAATTCCTTTTCCTTGCCCTTGTAATAAAATTGCAAATTCAATTTGAATTAATTGAATTTTACGAAATTTTTTTTTTTCAAAATTGTTATAAATTATATTTTCATAAAGTAACACATTTTTATGAGAAATTATATATCAGTTTCAGTTTTGTCATATGCGCTCACTTTGTATTGGGTGCGTTCGTGGTCGTTCTTGGGTCTCAAGGTCTTGGGAGGCGACAGGGGGCCGAAGGAGGGGGAGGTGGAGGTCGACGCGGCGGCCTCCCTCACCTCGTTTTGATTGCTGCTCGCGTTCTGCACCGGCTTTGGCTGCAGGTTGGCCAGCTAAAACAAACTTTAACATGAGAAACCAAATTCCTCTGTTAATATTTTTCTTTGAAACGAACCTGCGGGCGTGAGAGATCAGAGTTTGGCTGCTTGGCGAGGGCGAGCGGCCCGACCAGAACAGTGCTCAGGATTTGCTGCGGTGGCGCCGGCAGGATAGGCTTGTTGTAGTACAACGGCTGCTGTGGCTGCAGCAACTGCGCCAGGAGGGCGTTGCCCTCGGCCGGCTGCTGCCCTGAGCTCAGATTCGTCGAGCTCATTGACAACTGCGAACTCATCCGGGGGGTCGAGGCGCCCCCACTCACCAGCGACGAGCCGCTGTGAGATCGTCTTTTCACCTGCAACACCATTGTCAATGTCAAATGTCCAGTTTTATCAATTCATCAAGAAAAAACTGTCACAATCACCAACTGACAACTGAGGAAGCGTAATAGGCAAAAATGCTCGTAATTGCTCGATTAAAATTTATAAATAATTTAAATGCATGATTTTTAATTTGTACTAAACATCTTTATCAATTTCAGAATCAATGAAAGAAGACTGAAATGATCACAAGTTTTTCTTATAAATCTTAAGCATCTTAAATATAACCGACTGTGTGGCACAGTGGTTAGTGCGCTGGGCTGATAATTTGGAGGCCTTGGGTTCTATCCTGGCCAGGGTCAGGGCTTGAAAAAGTTCTGATTCTGACCGGCTAGTTCACAAGACTACAGAAAATCATAGGAGGTGCATTAATCACTGCGACAGGCCGGTTTCGGGAGGAATTGCAGGCATTTCGTCTGCAATTTCGGCTATGCTGTCTGGTGTTTTCTGCAGTTTCCATCAGACATTCCAGGCGAATGCCGGCATAGTTCCCATTCATAGGACCTTCCTCATCCTTCAAACTCCCAACATACAAAACCCATCCTACACTCCCTTCTCCCCGGCCCAGTGGGTCGCAAGGTCACCGTGTTATCGGCCCCGAAAGGGGAGAATCCGAGTTATCGGCCCTTGCGATTTAGCAGCCTGTCTGCTACCGCTGGTGCCTTTACCAAGAGGAATAAACAATTAAAAAAAAAAATATATTTCAAAATAAATTAGGATACCAAAATAATTTTAAGTTAAAATATCAATTACTAGAATTAATTTTGTATCATTAGTTTGTTTGATCAAAATTGATAACGACTTGTTACAGCTTGCTGATAAGCATTTTATGCAATTCAGTCTTGCCATTCAGTTAAATTTTTGCTCATGAACAATTTGAGAACATAGTCGCCAACCTTGTTGACGTTGGGCACAGCAAAGTTGGCCTGCTTTGCGGTTTGTCCTGCCTTGGCCATTTGCAGCTGCTGGACGTCCGGCTGGTCTTGCAGCAGGGTCATGGCCTGGCCCTGGGGAGGCTGGCTGGAGAGCAGCTGGTCCTGCGCGGTGAAGTAGAATGGTTCGGAGGGGGCGGCCGAGTGTTGCCGCTGGAAAGTGGCCGAGTCAGAGAAGATTTTGGCCGAGTATTGCAGCGAGAGGTCTGGGAAGGAGTCGCCGGGGCCCCCCGCCTGCTGCCCCAGGTTCAGGTCCATGCTGCGCGCCCCCTCCGACCGGAACAGGTTTGTCTCCAGCGCGTTCAGGCTGTTCGGCTCCTCCGGCACTGACGCCAGTTTTGATGAACTCGAGCACAGCAAATCTGCATTCAGAAAAATGTGAAATTTATTTTGATGGAAAGGAGTATAATCACCATGGAGGGACTGCAGGGGTTCCAATGTGTCCATGTAATCCTCAATGTTCGGCTGCAATTGCACTAATCCTGGCTGAATGAACTCGGCTAAGCCTGCTTTGGCTGCAACAAGATTACACTATGTTAGGTTGGCACCTCTGCATGACAAAATCCTTTCAATCGCAGATAATTTATTCAAATATTTTGCCAAGAGATGAAAATATATCACATACTTTGATTTTAATAAAAAAATTAATTGGCATTCTGTCTAAATTTATGTGTGTTTTGGGTGAACTCGGCCCAGGAAAATAAAGAATAGTGAAATGAAAGAAGACGCCTCGACGTCATTTGTTAATGTTCGCTAGCACTAGTTTCAAATCTTCCCCAACTAATCTTTATTGCTTACGTAGTTCTTACAAATTTCTCCAGATCGGGAAGGGGCTCCACGCGAGTTCTCTTCCCCAAAATAAAATCAATAATAGCCCTGTCCATCCCCCATATAATTAAATAATTTAAACCAAATACAAAATATTTGATATTTGGTATTCGTGAAAATTTATAGCAACAGGGGGAGAATAAATAATTATTAATTAATTGCTCGACACTTGCCTATTTCTCGGGGGTTGGGGAATGGAAAAGGCTGGGTGATGGAGGTGAAGAGCGTGTCACTCATCAAGTCCATGTAGTCTTCATCGACCATCATTGAATTCCCTGACTCGTTGCTGTCCGGGTGCCACTCGAACATGTCGATGTCCCCCAGCTTTCCTCAAATCAAATGTTACCAAAAAGAATGAATATTGATCAATCGCTCTCACCCCGTGGTCTCCATCTTTGGGCGTCCATCCCATGATTTTGTTTTTGTAAAACATTCGCCATTTTTTGTACTCTGCAGTGACTGTGGCAAGTTTCCGCTTCCAGTACTTGCCTTCGAGGACTACGGCCTGCGAAGGAGAAAATAATCAAGTTTAGCAGCGCCGCCCATTATTTATACACAATTCGCAGACATGCATTCGGCTGATAACAATTTCACACTTGTCTGCACCAGACGAAAGATTGATTCCTCTTATCTCTGCGTGCCCCCCCCCCCTTTGATCAGCAGAACGGAACGTGCTTTTCCAAAAATTGCAACAACAAATTGAACAACACGAGGAAAGAAGCGAAAAGGTTTCTCTCCTCGGCGGCACGGCTTCTTTGCAATTACCTCGGGTTTGTTGTGCATGTCGTGGTCCAGGGGAGACGCAAACTGGCACACGAGCGTGTTTTCTTTCCTGATGACTGCAACAAAAGCGTCCAATTTCATTATTCCCTCATTTGTAGGTCTTCGCAAGAAATAAAAAACATTTTTTTTCTGCTCTCAAACTGCAACAACCGTTTCTTTTTAAGACCTGCGAGTGATAAATAAACATAGAGGCCGCTTTTCATCCACTTTTTTCAATTATATTATCAAAATTGAGGTTTAATTATGGATTTGAACCAGTTATGAGCATTGAAAATAATGATGATTTTGATTTGCTTGAAGATTAAAAAAATTAATAAATCAAATAAATTTGTAGAAAATCCGCTTTGGAAATCTCTGAATTTGGTTATATTTACCAAATTAAACATGGTTTTGCATTTTACTGTATTTTTCATTTTACAATTAAAAAGGACTACAAAGAAATATAGACTTGTTCAATTTTATTTAATATGAATGTTAACAATTCATAGAAAAATATAAAATCACACGAAAGAATGTTTTTACAATCCAAATCGATTAAAGAAATAGGAAATTTAAAAAAAATTGGGAGGTCCAAAGTTTTTGTCAACTAATCAGAAATCAAGTGTTGCGGGGATAAGAGGACATTGTAAAACTAAGACGGCACTCATGTGATTAGGAAAGCGTCTGGCGATTGGTTCAGTGCGCCAAAGAGTGCACTGATAAGAAGCCGCGCGGGTGACGTCAGAGGTGCTGATTGAGTCCTCGGCAGCCACGGTCAGGGGCTCGTTCGTCCCACTCGCCAAGCCGAAATTTCATCACAAATGCATAAATTTTTAAATTAAAAAAGCTCACTCATATTCGCAGTTTTAAATCTCAAATAAATTTGTCACAATTCAAGGTCGGACGTTGGGAGAAAGTCGAGGAAAGTGACAATCCAGTCGACGGCAAAGAAAGAAATTAATAAGTGAGCAGGTTTGGAGAAAAACTCACACTGCATGTGCCAGCACCTCCATATCACATTGTTGAGTCTTATTTTGTCCTTCCAGCGAATCCGAATGCCCTTGAAGCGGTTCCATTTTGGCGACGTCAACTTTTGTCTGCAAAAAGCAAAAGAAAAAAAGAGGTCAATATTGGCCGAAAATAGCAATTTGCCCTCTTGTGCGCTGAGGTACGTAACGTGAACTTTTTTTATAGCTCAAGAGTCCACGGTTGAAATTGGGCTTGGTAAAAAAAGCGGTTTTCGCGGCCAAACTGCGAGTTGCAAAAACAATCAGCTGCTTCCTTAAGACGAAATTACAGCGCGCGTGCCAAGTGGGAGCAGCGCTGACGTTCTTATTCGTGCTAAGCCTAAACAAACTCTTTTTCTTTAAATGGGGGAAAAACACTGGCACCGTTTCTTTTTCCGACTCAGTTTGCATTTTTCGACAAGAGAAGGCAAAGTTGAAGGTTTGAGGAGTGAATGGAGAGGCTATTTTTAGCTATCAAGAGCAAACCTGTTTTTCTTTTTAATTTGCTCCTCGGTTGCTAGCACCGTGAAAAATAAGTGGAACAAAATCAAGGATGGGCGAAAAGGCCCCGAAATAGCTGACGGGGGGGGGGGGGGGGCGAGACCTTTCCGCCGCACTAACTGGACCTGTTGAGCTCAATCAATTTTATTTCAAGAGCGTCCGATTTTTAACATCTGTTGAAAGCAAAAAAAAGTCTCGATTTTTTTACTTAATGGCAATTGTGTTAGAGATAAAATTTATTGCTCGGGACGATAACGAAAAAAACGGAGGCAAAATGGACCAGAGCGGGTTGGGTGCAAATTCGCGATAAGATACAGAAATGATGTAAGGCGATTTGATGCTGTCTGCGTTGCAACATTCCCTGAAAAAAAACTCTGGATTGAAATTGAAATCAAAATCACCAAAATTAATAGAAACAAGAAAAGTGAGGCAAAACTTTGCTCAAAGCCAAAATTTGAAAGCGCTTTTTTAATTTAATTGCGTTGAAATGGCGTTCAAAGAACCGATTATTCCAAAGGCCACTGTTTCAAGAAATTGAGACGGTTACAAGTTTACAAAACAATAATTAAATTGTGCTTCCTTTTCAAGATTTTCCTTAGTATTAATAGAAGGTGGAATTTTGTTGTTTGCGTCTCTTAATTTGTTGCAAGTCGGCAACAAAGTGCAGGACAAGAAGCGCCGGTGCAGCAAAAGTTGGCCAATCGCGCGGCTGCACCGATTATTTCCACCGACGACGCCGGAGGTGTGAGTGTGCTTTGCGTTTAGCGACTCAAAATTAACGCCGGCGGGGCCAATTCGCACTTTTAATTAAGCAATCCCAAGCCAAACTCGGATTGAGTAAAATGTTTGATTGAACCGATCATGTGGAGCTCGGGACATTATAACATTTTTTTTCCACGAGACGGACTGTGGACTCGAGCGCTCGAGGGGAGAAAAGGTCAAGCGAGTGAGAAGCGGACGAAACAAAACTAGGCAAATTTATTTATTCAAGTCGGAAATCACTTCAGAAATTCATCGCCAATATCTCATGGCCCGTCTCATCAAATTTAGTTTTTGCCGAGGCAAGCGATTTCCCGCGCCGCTCACTCACCCCGAAATAATAATCTGATAAATGGAGATTAAATAAATAATGAGGGCGATCCAAAAGCCTAACCTGGTCCAGGCTAACTTGAGTTAGCCCCGGGCTAATTTAGCCCACCAGCAAAATATAGTGGCGGGTTAAATTAGCCCAGGCCAGGTTAAATTAGCCTGGGCCAAGTTAGCCTTTTGGATCGCCCTCAATAAGTTTATTTGAAAAGGATGGCGCGGAGTGACGAAACCGATTCAGAATTTTCAAAGCGAAAAGCTGAGGGTCGAGCGAGTCAAAGGTCCAAAGTGCAGCGCATTCTGGAATAATCGTCGATTTCACCTCTTCAATAATAGAAAATAAGTAAAAAATTAAGGAAGGACAACTTCAAGAAAATACCCATAAAATGGTTTTCAGACTGAAAAATTATCCAACTGGAGAAAATAATTGCTAGGCAATTTTTCTAGTATATCGGTGTTTTCCTTCAATTTTTATTTTAGACTTTTCAGAGAAGATCAAACGCAGATTTTGAGCAAGCGAAACTTTTTGAAACATCCTAGAGAGGTAATAAACCAGCCTTGCAGCAACTGTGTATTTTATTCGAATTCATTTGATTGTAATTCTGGTGCCAAAGGAATTTCATCTCTGCAGGCTTCACCGAATGGACAATTTGGGAAATTCAGAGCTGGGGTTTTGTGGGAAATTTCTATTTCGGGCCGCTGCATTTCCGTTGTTTCCGAACTTCCGGCCCAGCATATCGGGAAAGGAAACTCCGCGGCAATAAATTTATTTAAAATAAGCTGCCTTGACGTTCACAATGCAATCGGACCATTTCAAACTTGAAGCTGGAGCTTGATCGGTCCGTGTAAAAATAAATTGTTGATAACGCGCACCAGGGTCAACCTCCATTTCAGAATTAATCTGATAAGATGCAGATCAGCCCAAGTAAAAATTATTGCTTGGCAACTTTTTATTTACTTTAAATCTGATTGATATAATGGTTTTGAAAAAATTGAAGATACTAAAGAGAGCAGAAAATCGTCAAAGGTTTTGGATTTTGAAAAGTTTACTTGAAACAAAAACAATTTTCTTTTTCAATTGATTTTCAATGTAGCTTATACTAGCTTTTAAGAAAATAGATTCTGATACTTTAGTCACAATTTCTTTGGTCAGGGTTTGCTGATGGAAAAATACATGGAATATTCGTAAGAAAAGCAAAAAGTTAATTTCGGCGCAGTTTGTAAATATTTGATTTCATGAGAGTGAAAAGGAAATTCTGGCACTACTGGCATTAAATTTTTCTTTGTTTCAACAAGTCCAAAGGATGAACAGGAATCTTTATTTGAGTTGGAAACTTTGCGGAAATATAAAGGGAATTATATAGAATTTAAATTAAAAGTAATGCGTATCCCGAAATTCTCAGTCCAATCAAAGCTCGAAGTAAACCACATGTTTAAAAAAATTCCAATACGGTTCTTCTATTCTGAAGCTCCCGTCCGAGGAGAAATGCCATGTGCAACAATTAAGACTTTTGCTTCCAGAATGGCAAAATTAAGTAATGGAGAAAAAAATTGAGGAAATTGTGAGGATTGCAAAAAGCGTGGCTAGAAAGTGGGTCACCGACCTGTAGGCGACGGTCATGCACTGGAACAGTTTGGTCAGCGACGAGTCGATGAAGAGCGAGACCTTGAGGTTGGGGGGCCGGGGGCGGCCCTGGGGGGCGGCCGGGGCGGCGGCGGCCGGGGGTTCGGGCACAGGCACGGCCACCAGGTCCTCGTCGTCCTGCGCCTCGGCCTCGAAGTCGGACACCATGAAGTGGCCCGAGTGGATGGCCTCGGTGGCCGCCACCGCCGCAGCCTGCTTGGCGGCCGCCCGGCCGCCGCCGCAGGCCATCTGCACACTCGTCGCCCTGCGGTACATGCTCAGTTCGGGGCCCCCTCCGCTGCACTGCATCGCCGCGTCCTCACCAGGTCATCGCTGCCTCCGCGATCACTTCCAGCCCTGCGACGCCATGTTCCTTTCTGCACTCGCTCGTTCGCCTGCCTGCCAATGCTCAATGCTCAATGCTCACCAAAACCAAACCTCGGCCACCGAGCACCAACACCAAACACCAAAACCAAACTCATCAAACACAGGCGGCAGCTGCACTCGCGCGCCACCTGTCGTCGCCCCTCCCAACCACCGTAACCCAGCATCACCAGATATTGAAAAAGCGCGCCAACAGAGCGTGCAAATGTGCGCAATTGGCGACTAAAATCATCAATTATTGTCGTTTATTTGTCCACATTGTTTTAATTATATCGATTGTTGAAAACAATTAATTCAAAAAAAAAAAAAAAAAATTAATTTATGGACAAAACGGCACCACCAGCAAAATTTTGCTCAAACTTCTGAGATCAAAAAGACCCCATTCGCCCGCCGGCACATGTTGACCTGGTATACCGATCCTTATTTTCATCTGTGTTTTGATCAGTTAGAGATAAGATAAAGGTGTCTTCCAAACAATTACACAATAATATGGAAGTGAAACACTCGGGCTTTTTCCGTGTTGTAAAAAATTGTTATATGGCTTTATGGCTTTACTAGTTTCAATCATGGTCTGCGACCCTATTTCATGAGCACTGCTCGCTGATTAATTAAAGAAAAGTATTAGTATAACTTTGTTCACGAAAGCTTCATTCACCAATGGTAGTCTTAAGATAATAAACATTTAAAGAAAAAAATGCACTGTTTTTTAACGAGAAATAATTTGTTCATTTAATTAATTCAATTTGCAAGAAACAAAGCAGGTAGTAATTATTAACACTATGACTTTTAAAACTATCTTTCATATCAAATATTAAATTTACTTTCTCCCCCTACAAATCATAAGCATTGCAATTAACAATTAAAGAAAAGCTTGCTGCAGTCAAAATGTGTGTCCAACGATGGCAGAGCGCAAAACAAACATTTGCTACTTTTGTATGTAGAACAATACCAAAAACACAGATGATTGCATTTGTGCAAATTTACTGATTGGATCGTGCAACTACTGAACTACCGGCAGACAGCATGTCTTTGGAAATCAATCGCATGCACTCTTGCTCGTGCTTGGGCCAGTGCTGGTTCTAAAAAAGAAGATTCAACGTGGTCATGAGGATGATGTCAAGTGCGCTCGTTAAAGGCCAAATATATCAAAAGATAGTTCTCAAATATCTCTACTACTCAAGGATTAAGAAACTTTTTTAAGCGAAAAAAGAATAAAAATTGAGAAAACATGGAAATGAAGAAATCGGGCTTTTTTCCTCGTTGTAAAGTTTGTTTTTATTCAAAAACAAAACGGCTTTTATGGGCTTTTACGACGAGGGAAAAGCCCCATTTCTCCATTTCAATGATGATCTCCTCGAGTGTGTCAATTTCAGCAAAAAAAAAAAATTGAGAAAACATGTTTGAAAAAGATTAGAAGTAACCGTTAATGAAGTTTTAATAAATTAATTTATTTACACTCCAAATTTTGTTGTTTTAAATTCCCAACACATTATTCGCACCAAATTATTTTCACGCTTCTTTGACACGCCCACCCGGCCCCAATTTTGATACCAAAAAAATTGAAAGTTTTCGCCGCATGTTAGTGACGTGTGGCAGATGTGCAGTATTGCATATGATGCTTCCTTCTAGCTTCGATTTTTGCAAATATTGTAATGGATTTTTTTTTTATTCTTTTTTAATTGATTTTTTGAGATATTTATTTGCATAATTATCTTAAATCGGCCTATTAAACCAATTAAAAAATAAAATTAATCGGACTGCGACTGCACGCAGATGGAGTTGTAGGCACCCCACTCTCCAGCAACTTGGAGTTGGGCAAAACCCCCAAGATTAATTTTTGCAAAAGCCGCGAGCGAGGGTTGGTGGCGCAGCAAGGTCGAGGACGTGGGGAAGGCCGTGCGGAGGGCGAGGACAAAAGGGCGGCTCCGCAGGAGCCCCCTCTCACGAACCTCTGCCCTTTTGTCCCGCCTGAGCCGGCCTTCACCACGTTCTCGGGCGAGCGCGCCTCCAGCCCGAAGCTCGCAAACCATAACGGAGCTGCCTACAAAAGGAGTTGTCTGCAATCGGTGCAGTACTTACAATAATTAAAATTATATAGTAACCAAGGCGTGAAAAAAATTTGGTACGAACGTACGAATAAGCTTTTGGGAATTCAAAACTCACCAAAATTTGGTGCAAATAAATGTATCCTTAGTTTTTTGTTCCACAAAATAGGCTTTGAGGATTAATTGTTGAGGTACATGGCGTAGGCGGCGCAGGCGCAAAAGTCGTCCGCCGCGGCCTCGCCGTGCCCTGGCAAAGGACGTACCTGGCAGTCGCGGCTGCAGTACGTGGCCGTCTTGCATGACGAGCAGACAAAGCCGGACGCGCGCTGGCACTGCAGACAGTGTCCGGTCGACGAACTCGGCTTGCGTTGCTGCTGCTGGTGCTGCTGGACTTTGAGGTGTTCGTTTGAGTGGGGTAGGTGGCGCGGCGGGGGTGCTTGCGGCAGCGGCACCACCGTGATGGTCGCTTGGTTTGAAGGCCGGTGGTGCTGTTGTTGTTGTTGCTGCTGCTGCTGCTGCTGCTGGTGAGCTGCGCTGAACCTCATCCTCTCTGACAAAAGACCTGATGGGACCAATTTCATCAAAATTGTCATTTTTCCCCCAACAATTATTAATTATGCTGGTTAGGAAAAATTTAGAATTAATTTATTCCTATTTTATAAGATTGCAGGCAAGAGGCTTTTGTTAAATAAAGTACTGATTTTTTTTTTAGAAAACTTCCAATTTGTAACTCGACTATTTTCAGGAAATAAAAGGAATTAAACAAAATAAGTTACTGCTGTGGGTTTGGTTATATTCCCTATAAATTGTACACTTCTAAATATTTGAGATTTGATTTAATTTTTTGGGAATACAGTCTTGGTTTTTCGGGAAGGGGTTGCAGAAAGGGCGCTCTTGAGCGGGGTCGTAGCTGTGGGCGGCGGCAGGCAGCTGGAACGAATGCCTCAGAGGTGGCTGGTCAGCTGGCAGCAGCAACGGTCCGGACACCTGCGGAGGTGGTTGACTCGCAGCAGGACGTGATGGTCGGACGGATGGCAGCGGGCGGAACCAGGTCTTCTCCTGAGGGCCACGGCAAGGCAGGTCACCGTCTGGAGGGCCTGGAAATTAGGGGAATAGTGAGTATGGGCTGGTTATTGATAAAATGGTTGTTGTATTTAATGCAACAACACAGTCGGACTTAGTTTACCTGGGTTAATTGCAGGCACGGGTTTGGAGGGTGACTTGTAGCAGCCGGGGTGGAGTGTCCGGGCTAGGCGCCGCTTCTGTCCGACGTCGCTGTCCGGTGAGAGGGTCCGCCCTAGAACAGTATTGGGGCCATCAGCTGACCGCAAAGGAACTAGAGGGCGTATCTCTTACCGTCAAGGTTGGACGGGACAGGTGCAGCTCGGGATCCTCTGGCGGGGGCACAACTGACCAGGGTGGAGGCAAGGGAGGCCGTCCGGTCGGCTGGGACAGAACGGTCTGCTTGTGGTCGAACCTGGGAACAAAGAGTTAACTTTTGAGTTCCTCCGTCAGCGGCAGTGGCAAGAGAGTCGCCTACCTAATCGGTAAAAGGCGGATCTGCAAGTCGCTGCCGCTGACGGAGGAACTCAAAAGTTAACTCTTTGTTCCCAGGTTCGACCACAAGCAGACCGTTCTGTCCCAGCCGACCGGACGGCCTCCCTTGCCTCCACCCTGGTCAGTTGTGCCCCCGCCAGAGGATCCCGAGCTGCACCTGTCCCGTCCAACCTTGACGGTAAGAGATACGCCCTCTAGTTCCTTTGCGGTCAGCTGATGGCCCCAATACTGTTCTAGGGCGGACCCTCTCACCGGACAGCGACGTCGGACAGAAGCGGCGCCTAGCCCGGACACTCCACCCCGGCTGCTACAAGTCACCCTCCAAACCCGTGCCTGCAATTAACCCAGGTAAACTAAGTCCGACTGTGTTGTTGCATTAAATACAACAACCATTTTATCAATAACCAGCCCATACTCACTATTCCCCTAATTTCCAGGCCCTCCAGACGGTGACCTGCCTTGCCGTGGCCCTCAGGAGAAGACCTGGTTCCGCCCGCTGCCATCCGTCCGACCATCACGTCCTGCTGCGAGTCAACCACCTCCGCAGGTGTCCGGACCGTTGCTGCTGCCAGCTGACCAGCCACCTCTGAGGCATTCGTTCCAGCTGCCTGCCGCCGCCCACAGCTACGACCCCGCTCAAGAGCGCCCTTTCTGCAACCCCTTCCCGAAAAACCAAGACTGTATTCCCAAAAAATTAAATCAAATCTCAAATATTTAGAAGTGTACAATTTATAGGGAATATAACCAAACCCACAGCAGTAACTTATTTTGTTTAATTCCTTTTATTTCCTGAAAATAGTCGAGTTACAAATTGGAAGTTTTCTAAAAAAAAAATCAGTACTTTATTTAACAAAAGCCTCTTGCCTGCAATCTTATAAAATAGGAATAAATTAATTCTAAATTTTTCCTAACCAAATTGGCGATCCTGGCAGGATCGCCAATTGGTATTACAAATTTAGTTTATTGCAAACCAAAATGATAATAAGAAGTTGCAAGTAAGGGGTTTGCATATGATTATACTGACTGATTATTTATTAATTTAAATAAAATAGAATTTATTAAACAATTAAATAATCAGTCAGTATAATCATATGCAAACCCCTTACTTGCAACTTCTTATTATCATTTTGGTTTGCAATAAACTAAATTTGTAATACCAATGCAAATAACATTGAAATTCAAATTTTTATCTAACAAATGCACAAATTGGTGAATATTAACCTAATGAAGGTAAAAATCTCATTTATTGCTGAAATCCATCCCATTTGTTAGGGTAGAGTGTTGAAATATTCCCAAATTTTAGCCTTCCTTCAACATGTAAATAGGAAAACTTAAAATAATCCTGTTATCATGCTTTGTTTAATGACATTATTTTATATTAGAGTAATTTTAATATAAATATTCTTTTGTGCTTTATTGTAAATCTGTGATTTTACTTTTGCGAAAACATCAAAATTTTATGAATTTTCCAGTTAACATAAAAATTAGGAGATTCTACAAATTATTGTGAAATTTTAATGCGCTTTAGATTTTGATATAAATTATCAAACTCTAACAAGGTGTTCTGAAAGTTAGATAACCCTGATTATTAAAAATTTTAAAATTCACCCTTTTTGGTACCACATGAGAACAGCCAATGTTTTACTCATTTCTGCACAAATTTGGTTGTCAATTTTTAAAAGAAGGTTTCATAAATTCTTTAACTGTTACGTAGAATAAACTAGTTTCAATCGTAAATTGCGTGAATGAAATAAAATAATAATTTTTAGGCTCGTGCATTTTAGTAGGTTTTTAGGGGGTCAAAAAGTCGACAATTTTTAGTTGATTTTACATATGATAAATATAGTCGCCTATTAAGCTGGTTTTTTTCCAAAATATTCGGTTTTAGTCAAATTTTTTAATTGGATTTTTTTAGCCACAAAATACATGAAAAGATTATTTTAATCGATTTTTCGGATTGCATTAATTAATATCCATTTTTGGAAGCATAAATAATAATTTATCGCCCACCTTACATCATATTTAAATTTCCTAGCTATATAGCAATTATACAGAACTTCGTGTTTTTATGATACGTTATAAAGAAGAGGGATACAATTGCTGAAACCATTGAATTTTTCTAATATTGTGTTGAAATATATATTTTGAAGATAGTTGCACAGGGTAATTTAATCAAATGCATGTTTTGTTTGATATTTGTGAACAAAATTTATATTTAGTCGTAAAATTATGATTATAATGTTCTAAAAATGCTCCAAAACATGTTTTTTCTACTGTTGAAAATTATGAATTTTTCATCCATCCCATGTTTTATTCCTTTTTTGTTATTAAAGATTAAAAATAGCTTTATTAAATGCTACTTTCAGTCGCTTGAAATAAAATCTGTATGATAAATTTTTTTAAATAAATAAATTTTTAGCTTTTCAAAATATTTTGGAAATTTTGTTTCCAAGTCTGGAAAAACCTAGTTTTTGCTTAAAAAGTTGAAAAAGTGTCATTTTAGTATGTTTGAGTCGCTTTAGTCGGAAATTTAAAAAATAGTCGGTTTTAGTCGATTTTAAATAGGTGACAATTGTAATAAAATCACTTGATTCATGCAGAAAATGCATTTCGGTAACGTTCCGAGCGACATGGAAAAAAAGTCGATAGACTAAAAAACACGAGCCTATGATTTTCATCCGCATCTGGAATTAAATGTATAAAGTAAAGAGAAAAAAAGTAATAATTAACCCTCAGTGATGAGCTGCTCGCGGCGGTAGTGCTGAGGCAAAAGGTTGGCCTGTCTGTTGAGGAGGGGCGGCGAGTGGATGCTGCTGCGTCGCACCCGTTCCACCGTGACCGGGGGCGACACTCGCTCCACCGCAGGGTTGTACCTGTGCACCTGGTGCGACCTGCCCACCGACCTGTAGCTGCCGCCGCGCGACTGGTTCTCGTGCTGGTGACCTTTTCAAAACGCACAAATTACATTTTTTGGTCAACTGATGAGATTCAACGAACCTTGGTGCTGGTAGGCGTGGAAGGCCCTAGGCGGTTGGTGGTGCGGCGGCGCCGGCACCAGCATCGGCGTCCTGCTGCTCGTCAGGTCCATGGGCCCCGTCGCGTCCCTCTGCAGCCCCATGGCGGCCAACACCTGGAACTCGGCCGCCACCTGGCCGTTGCTGCTCGACGAAACGGGCGTCAACGCCTTGCTCGGTTCGCCGTTCTGCTTTCTTTGGCCCGAATCGTTCTCCATCCGGCTCAGCAGCGACGTCGGCACCATCGATGACTGCAAAGCGCTCTTTTAACTTTTCATCTCATTTAATTCAAAGCGCTACACAGCAATATTTTAATGTAACCACCTTTTTGAAACCTAAGCGATATTAAAGCAAGATTTCTGGCTATTTCCGGAGAACGAATACTATGATCATAGCAGCAAGACATAAAAATAGAATGAGTATCTTAGCCACCAATGTACATCTTTATTTGCATTTGCTGTTGCCAGCGGCAATTTGTTATTCAGGAGGAACAAAAATATTGTAACATAGATTTATTTATCCTTGTGTGAACATAAATAAGCAACAATTTGTAGATAAATTAATCCTTTTAAATACGATGAGGGCGATCCGAAAGGCTAACTTGGCCCAGGCTAAATTAACCTGGCCTGGGCTAATTAAACCCGCCATTCAATTTTGCTGGTGGGCTAAATTAGCCCGGGGCCAAGTCAAGTTAGCCTGGGCCAGGTTAGGCATTTGGATCGCCCTTATCATTTATTGTTGTTTATATATCTGTCCACATTGTTACAATGCATTGTTTACATTCAACTTTTGAAAACAATTTATCTAAAACAGGTATTGTAGGACAAAATGGCACCAACACCAGCAAGGATTTCGCTAAAAATTCGGAGATTAATTCGCCGTGCTAAGTTTTGTTATCTTTATTGCTAAATGTGGAAACCTTTCAACCATTTAGATAAATTCAAATTTTCCAAATTCTAAATAATATAAAATTTAAAACTAACGTAAAAATGATTCCAAATAATCGTTAATAAATATTAAAAATTACGCGCTGCAAGTTTTATTTAGTGGAAACTTTACTTAAATGACGACTATTTTGCCGAGACGAAGCAAAATTCCTATTAATCGTACATTTACCATCACCTTCATTTGATTATTCGATTAGGTAAATATCTTAATCAATGTTTTTTTCATATTCATTCCAGCAACTTGAATGCTTTTAGTAAAACGGAGGCAAATCCGAACCTTGTGAAGTTTCCTCCGGCGTTATCCAGGGTAGCGTTTTGGGGCCCCTTCTGTTCAACATTTTTGTGGCCGACCTCCCCGAGTGCGTGGCAAACAGCCAACTCGTCCAGTACGCCAACGATGCAACAATTTACAAAACAATTACATGCCAAGAAGACGCCGACCAACTGCAAGATGATTTGTGGACATTTGGTGTGCAAGCAACGGGATGAGATTAAATGCGAAAAATTGTAAAGTTATCGATATTTCTCACGCGCGCGTCCCTTTGTATTTTATGTACAACCTTGGTGAAACCGTCCTCGAGTACTTCAACCAGCAAAAATTGCTCGGCGTTAATATTTCCAGCGACCTTCGGTGGCAGGTCCACACAGATATCGTCCGGGCAAAGGCGGCGCAAACCCTCGGCTTCGTGGCCCGTAACCTGCGCGGCTGCACCCCCCGAGTAAAAAGAATCGCGTACCTCTCTCTCGTAAAGCCAGGCATGACATATGGACTCCCTGCATGGCACCCAACGACGAAAGTCAATTTAAAAAAGCTCGATAGAGTGCAGAAACGGGCGCTGCACTTTATTCACGGCCGCACCCTTCCGCCGGCAAACGAGCAGAGAGTTATGCCCCTTGACTTGCATCTCAGGTACACCGACCTTCTATTTTTCAAAAGTGCCTGAGCGGCGAGACTGATTTGGACGCGCGTGCCCGAATCATCGAGGGCCATGTGCTGCGAGGCGACAATAGCCGGCATCCCCGCCTCCAGCCACCCCCGGTCCGAAGTGTGTTTGGCAAGCGCGCTTTTTCCTTCAGGGTCGTCAAGCCCTGGAATGACCTGCCACCGACCCTCAAAGACTGCCCAACCAGCAATTTTCCCTCCCTTTGCAAGCAGCATTTGTGGCAGCAATTTTAAAGTGTCGTGATTGTTCTTTTTTTTTCGATAGTGTGGGTTCACGCGGTGGCCGATCTCTTTAAGATGTCGGGCGTTTTAGCAGACCTCTGCTAGTTGTGATACCCTTTCTGCTCATTTTTTTCCAATTCAATTTTTTTTTCATGTATGACTAGAGTAGAATAAACAACAATATAAAAATAATAGTTAATTCCAGATTTGGTATGCAACCTGCAGAACGCGTATGTCGCGCGGGTTGCCTACTTGCGTTCGACAGGCGCTCCACGGAAAACGGCCCGAAATGAGACGCACTTTGTCCACTTGAGTGAAATAATTATCGATCACGCGTTAAGTGAGCGAGGACAGGGTATGTGAGAAAGTGACAGGCGCTCACTTCCGATAATTGCGTGCGGTCCGGCAATAACCTTAATGCTGGGGTGTGAGAAAATTAATACCACCTAGCTCTTTCGCGGCCATGAATTATAAACGGGCTGTTGCAACACACATTTCCCAGCAGATAACCGCAAACCAGTTTTCCTCCTATCTTATCGCTGATTGCCATTTTTCTTATCAATTGGGAACGCTTTATTAGTTGAATTATTTATGCTATTTATATTTTTGCTGTACAAAAGTCTAGGGGCAAAAACGTTTGTGATTAAAAGCAAAAAAATGTCGCAAAAATTCGTGTTAACTAAAATTAGTCACCAAGTGCAATGGAGTAAAAAAACTTAGCATATAATTTTGTTTTAAATGTACTACTTTACAAACTAATTAATATGTACTAAATAAATAAATAAAAAAATACCTGCTGAATTCGGTAGAGCTGGTGTTCGTTGTGGGCGATTTCAAATTCGTCGCGCTGGGGGGACACGATGGCGGTGCCGTTGTTTCTGGACAAATGCTTTTGGGCGGCGGCCAGTTGCGCTTGTGCCCTCTGCACTTCTTTGATGGCCAGCGGAATTTTCTTCTGAATGTCCAAAAGTTTCTTCAAAACGTCGCTCACGATCCCCAAAGGCAAATATTTCATCTAAAAAGTTTAACATTGCAAAATTTAGTCTAAATTGTTTGTTGCTTTCCTTCAATTAGCAATATTGTAGAAATAGAGTCAAACAAATTTAATTACAATCTCATAAATTAGTGAACATAAAAAAAGAAAGATTTTATGCACAGTAATCAACTGCTGTTCTGACAATGAAACAAATTTGAATGACCACGCTAGAGGAGGATCATTATTATTATTATGCAGAATATTAAAACATCATAAAATAAATTAAAATTCGCCTTCAATTGGACTGAAAATTATTTTCATTAAGATTAAGAATGTAGAAATGAAAAGAATTTTCACGTACCGCGGCCGATTTTGCGTCTTCGGTGGAGTCGGTGATGTCGATGACCTGGTTGCGCTGGCTGCCCGAGGGCTGCAAGTACTGGTCGAGGCCAAGCTCGTTGATGGCGTGCTCGACGCTGGACGAGGTGACGCGCGGCCGCTTGGCCGGCGACGGCACTTGCAGGTTGGGCACGGCCACGATGGCGCTGGCCTGCGTGGCTGCCTCGCGCACGTGCTGGAACTGCTGCGGCGGCCGCACCATGCCGAACGCCTCGCTTCCGCCGGTCGCCGGTTCGCGACTAAAAATTGCATTGCCCTCTACACTAGAAACATCAAAATCCTTCATTCTGCCCGCGTGACGCCAAAAATTCAGACCATAAAAAAATCCCATGCAATTCTCAATTTATTCTGAAAAAAGTTTATTTGAATTCAACATGCTTGATCTCTTTATTGATCCCCAGTCGAAAATTCGCAGGCAAAATTGATTCAACAAAAGGAACAAGACTCACTGTAGGAACTCCTCAATGATTTCTGGTCTTCGATTGCGGAAATCTTCGAGCAGGGCTTCGATTTCTTCCTTGCTTCCGCCCTCGTGTTGAATCCTGTGAAACGCAGACTGCATGGGCGACCTGCTTAATTTTGAATTTCATTGAGAGTTCACGGATTGGCTTGTGAAATTTTGTGATCGCACCTGCTGCCGTCGACTTTGTTGGAATTGGGTCTTTTGCCGAGGGCGGGCGGCATTTGCTCGACGTGCGGCGACTCGGCCGTCTGCATGTCCTGCCTGCGAATGTGGAAAGTGGCCACGGGTTCTTGCTGGCCGACCGACGACGGCACCACCTTGCACAAAAAGTTATATAATTTTCAGGCCGAGATCAAACGAAATTGGTTTATTAATGAAGCAACTCACGTGGGCTGCTGCCCTTTGGCGGTCCTTTTTGATTCCGCCGTCGAACAGGGCGGTGGCGTTGGCGTTCATGATGCTGGCCCTGTTGGTCCTGGTGATTTCGACCGGGCTGTGTCTGCTGGACAAGCGCTGCTTCTCGGCGTTTTCGTCCGAGGGTGAAAAGCTGGTGAGCCGGCCGTTGGGCCGCGGCGAGTACGACTGCTTGCTCGAGGGCTGCGCGAACTCCTTGTGCTGCTTGGCCGGCGAGTGCGGCCGACTTTCCTGCGGGGACGCGGCGGCCACGGCCACCCCTCGACAAGGGTCGCCGCCGTTCGTGCTCCCAGCCCACGACTGGGCCAAACCCTCGCAATCTCCTTCCTAATCGCAATTCTGATTACTCGACCATTCAAGAAAAATTAATTTTTTTTTGTGTTTTGGAAAAGATTTTTGACTGCAGGCAAATAAAATTCAAAACATGCCAGAAACTTGCTATTTAATTCGACATTGCTTGGCAAAATTACCACAAAATTGCGGTATGATCGCGCACCGATGGAACATGATTGTGAAAATTTTTGTATATCAGAGCTTTTTTCGTTTGTCAAAAACGGTTCCATCCACTGATGCAATATAATACTCAAGAATTTAATTAAACGTTAAAAAATATAATTATTGTAGCTAATAAATTTCGTTAAAAATAATTTGTTATAATAATTTGAATTTATTTGAATTACTTGGTGGCGTGCTGGGGAAAAGTGGAGGCTGGGCGAGCCGTGGAGCGAACTGGGCATGGTGGGCGACGGACTGCTGACGGGCGACGGGGGCGGCAGCGGGGACGAGTTCTGGGTCACTTCTGCGGAGGCCGTCGACGCGTCATCGCTGCTTGCACCCCGCGACGAACCTTTTTGTTACGCAGCAAAACAAAATCTTTAATTAATTCGTTCAATTAAAAATCACACACGGCGCGTCCTGTGTTGATAACCAAATCTCTTTTTGGTTTTCCGTTTCTCTCTTATCAAAAATGGGTTTCCTTGTGGAAATCCGCACAACTCACTTGCACCACATCCCGTCGCTTTTTATAATAATCAACTCGATACAACTTCCTGCATAATTCTAATGTTGAAAATAAACCTCGATCCAAACGAGGCAACAAAAATTAATCTAACTTCAAAAAATTTCACCAAGCTAAAACTGCGGAAAACTTACGATTCAACTCTTTGCTGTTTTCCGGCGAATCGTGAACCATAATTCGGTAATTGTGCGGCGATGTGGCTCGCGCGATAATGAGCGAATGAGAAGTCTCTCGGACTTGTTGCTCTCAGCAGCGATGCTGAGCAGAGACTGAATTGTTATCACATCACAACCTCAAAAGCTGTTAAACAAGAATATATCTAAAGCGCGTGTGCATCTGCCCCACTATGAATTTTCTTTTCCGGCGCTTTCCGATTATGTGCTGCGGTCAATAATTTATTTATTATTCAAAGCTCGACCCCAACGCCAAATTTTCCGGCGAATCGAATTTAATTCAAAACTCGCCTCATCATTCGGACAAAGGTTTCGAGCCAATTCGTAAGAGAAATTTGATTTTGAATTTCAAGCAGCGCAAGTGGAAAAATTCGACAAAGCGTGTTGGAATATTTTACGCGTCAGTCGCTCCAAACAAGAGAGACACAACAAGTAATTAAAGAAAATTTGGCGTCTGCCAAAATCGGCAGAAAAAAATGAATGAGTCGCGCGAGGGGTTATCTCAGCATTGTTGAACTTTGCTACAATGCGCGCGGCGTTATCTGCTGGAATTATTTTTTTTGTGATCGCATTTAGGGACGAGAGATAGATTGAGGAGTGTGTTGCTGCGGCGCTTTCGGTTTTGGATTCTCAATTTTTATTGTCTTATCTTATCGAAGATTAGAAGGCCCTTGGCGCGCTAAGGTGAGCTACATCGGTGGACAGATTTATCTCGTTGAATTGAGCGCTCCTCATTGGCCGCCTCCCAAAATCTTGAGATAACGCGGCGATATGTTTTTTTTTTATTGCGTTATCAATTAATAAACGTTTCATCATTAGAGCGTCGTAGAATCGAACAACATGGAAATGCGAGTAAATAAAAAAAGGCTATTTTCATGTGTGCGCGATAACAGGTTATCTCTTATCGTCGTGTTGGACTTATGAAACACTCTTCAACACTCACACTGCGCGCCACTGTTAACGCAGATAACGAGATAAGATATCTCGAATGGCACACAGGCCGGCCACGTCTCTCTCTCACAATTTGTTTTTTATTTTATTAATAGGGTAAAGAGCAGCGCGCCTAATAAAGATAATGGACATTACGCAAATCAACTGGCAAATTTGCACTCCACGTGCAAAAACGAGCAGCAAAACACGGCGATTTTGGCGGAAATTTGAATGAAACAATCTTTGCTTTTGTGTGCATTACTCCTTGTATTGTATTTCCAGACAAAAAAAACTACACTGTATAGATAAATGAAAAGAGAGAAGAGCTTGAACTAGACCAAGATTTCTATTCAACACTGCAAGGCTCAAAGGAAGGGCAAAACACTTTGCAAGCTACAAATTCAATGCAATTAGAATTTAATCAGTTCTCTGAGCCTTTATGCAAGAGGGATCCAACAAATAATTGTCTGTCGGAGTACAAATTTTCAATGAAATTTTCAACAGTATAAACTCGATTTTTCGACACTATCACTTAGGGGTAATTAACATCTAATGGAATCAACACGGGATAAATGGAATCTGTTTTGAAGGCATCTCTCTTTCAACACAACAAGGTTCTTTTCAATATTTTATCTTTTTGTCTTTGATCGAGTTTTTACTGAGACTTCTCGCGCGCGCATTCTTTTGAACCACAAAATATAATCAATAATAATTCCTTTTTCCTAAAAATACGCAAAGAATGGGGGAGTCGACTGGGGGCTTAACAAGGCGGCTTGCACAATTTATCAAACCGATCTAACAGCATTTTGCGCAACTCTTTCCTCTTCTCCATCACCTGCGGCAGTTGAGCTTTGAATGCCTTCACGTCTTCTGCTGGAATGAAACTGCGCTCGCTGTCCTCTTCGTCAGAAGACAAAGGATCCTGCAAAATGACATTTAATTAATTAATCAGACAAATCACTCCAATACTAAAATTGAAGACTTCTTTACAAATCACCAAGTTGGTGTTTATTTATAATCCAGATCAACAGCATTTTGCCCTAAATAACCCATACAAAAATTCATCATACCAGTCTGAATTTATTACTGTCTATTGGGGGTGCATTGAGATACATTTTCTGAAATTTCCCAAGGTTTTCCCTTCCCCTGCCGCTACCCTTTCCAGGTAAAAAGTACCTTTTAAAGGTGGCGTATTTTTTAATTTTTGTAATAATTTTTCTATTCCTTGTACAGACATGAGATCAACGCCATTCAATAGGAAATTTCATTAGCTTTCAAAATCTTACCAAGTTTAATGAAATGTGGCTATTTTAGGCGCCAAAATGTTTGATTGTTTGAAGAAAGTTTAAAATTTATAATTTTGTATTGCTTTTTTATCACTTGCTCTTGTGGAAAACATTTTAGAGAAAAATGCTTCATACAAAACTTGTGGGAAATTCAATTGTGCACATTTTTTGAATTTGCCATTTTCTTCTAAATGCAAATAGGCAAAAATTATAAATGCGGAAAAGTTGAAAAAGAGGTTTTCTGCTCAATGTTAACCTTATGGGTGAAAATCAAACCTAGAAGGTTCAAAATTATGTAGGATGAATCGTGACAATCTATAGATATTTCCTCTCAGCTGTTCAAATTTAAGAAACATAAATGGAAATATAGAATATTTTACAGTAAAAAAATTAATCGAAGCTCCTCAAATTTGAACGGCTGAGAGGAAATGTTTATAAATTAGCACGATTCATCCTAAGGGCAAAACTTCAGGTGATTTTGAGCCTTCTATATCCATGTTTGATTTTCACATTGAGCAAAAAACCTCATTTTTCAACTTTTCAGCATTTATAAACTTTTGCCTATTTGGATTTAGAAAATACCAAATATGTGCAAAATAAAAATTCCTACAAGTATTGTTTGAAAATTTTTTCTCTAAAATGTTTTCCAAAAGAGTTATAGCTAAAAAAAAACCAATAAAAAAAATGACAAATATTTTACCTTTGTTCAAACAATCCAACATTTTGGCGCCAAAAATAGCCACATAGTAATTAACATGGTAAGTTTTTGAATGCCAATGATATTTCCTATCAAATGGCGCTGAAATGGCGTTTGTCTCATGTCTGTACAAGGAATAGAAAAGTTACTACAAAAATCCACGCCACCTTTTACCTAGAAAGGGTAGCGGCAGGGAAAAGCTTGGGAAATCTCAGAAAATGTATCTCAATGCACCCCCCAATAGATAGTAAAAAATTCAGACTGGCATGAATTTATATCGGGATAAAACCTTTCTTTCCTGGACTATCACTTAAATAGTGAATCTAGGAATTTTTCTAATTTTCGTGTTTAATAATCAACTTGCCTCTAGCATCTGAAGCAGTGTTCTGGGGCCGTTGGCATCCACTGGCTTTTTCTCCGGCAGCAAAGTCTTGGGCGAGGGTGGCCTGTTGGAATTCTCTTTACTCGCCTCCGTGCTGGAACACTCGCCTGTAATTGCACAATTTAAATTTAGGGCTCAGAAGGTGAAATAGAAAGAAAAGGAACCTTCGTGGTTGCAGAAACCGTCGGAACACGCGACCTCGGAGCCTTCGGGTGAGCTGGGCAGACTGCACGAGCCGGAAATGGTTTCGTTTCCCTCGGAGGAGTAGCCGCAGTCGTGCGATTGCTGGCTGGCGCACCTGGCCGACGACCACTTTTTGGCAGGAGTACTTTTCTGAGCACTTTGACAAGAGTCACAGGAGACGTCCGCCGAGCAGCCGCCCCTGTTCTGCTGCACCAGCACTCTGGCTTGCTGTTTTTTGCTCGGCTTGCACGACAGCTTGCGCACCACGTCCTTCTTGCTGCTCCGCACCATCACTTCTTCCTTCGGGTCATCACAATCTTCGCATGAGCAAACAGACTCCTTGCACGTCGCCTCTTCGTCGAACTGAGAAAAAAAACGCTCAAAATCAGAAACCAAGTTTAGTTCATTGCAATAGAAAATTGTTGCTTTCGCCATTTTGCTGGAAATTTGATCTTCTTAATAGTAAATAAGAAGACTCGAAACAAAAATTGTTAAGATGAACCGAATGAATTGCTTGTTTTTTTCCTATATTTTAATTTTGATTCTGTAAAGTGGCAGAGAGCTTTTGAAATTTGAACTCACTTCACAATTGCCATCCTTGCCCTCGGCCTTCTTTTCCTTCTTCCTCCTCCGCTTCTGCTTCTTGTGTTCCTTGCGATGCTGCTTGGCAAGTTCCTCCTTGGTGATTTCCTCGTACAGCAGCATCAGCTGCGACTTGCCCCGCTTTTCATCCACGGCCAACTGCAAAAGTAAAAAAGGGGTGCTTCAGTCCATGATTCAAAAGTATTTTGCTCTAATTCATGCCAGTATGAATTTGTCACCATCTATTGGCGGTGCTTTGAGATAAATTTCCACAGATTTTCCCCTCCTACGTGGGTAAAAACGTACCTTTGAGAGGTTTTTAAATTTTTCTAACATGAGACAAACAATGATAAATATGAAATTTAAATTCTATTTGTTTTTAGCTCTAGCTTTTGTGGAGTCAATGTTAATAAAAAAATGCTTCACACAAAAAAAAAATGGAAAATTTGAGTTTTCACACTTAATGAAGTAAATCATATCCAAGTTAGAAGAGAAAAAATCTGATAATAAAACCTTTTGCTTTGCATTGAAAAGAAATGTCCAATTCAGGGTGCAAAGACAAATTTTAGACTCAAATTTAAACGTTTTTTTCCCTTATATAAGCTCTCTGAATGTACGATGGAGGACTTCTGAGCGGGAGTGGCGTTCAAAAGATTTGGTACCTGCATATTGGATTTTGGACGTGGAACCAAAAAATAGTGGGGTGATCATTTCTAAAATTTAATTCAAGCCAAAATATGTCCACCTGTATGTACTTGATGGTCACTAATGAAAAGCTGTCAGCTGTAGCAAAATTAGTGTAAGAAACCATTTTTCAGACTGAAGTGCAGAAAAAAATTAAATTTCCTCAAAAGCTAGACCTAAAACCAATATAAAGTGACCATTCACTATTTTTCATGACACAATTGCATCCATTTTTTCCACATAATGTCTAATAAAAATAAAAAAAGAGGTTTTTATTTAAAGCTAATAAAATTTGGCATTTGTCTCAAGTTGTTGCTAGAAGTTGTGATATTAAGCAAATAATTGCAAAATATGAAAAGATCAAAACATTTAAAGCAGAAAGGGTAGCCAAAAGGGTAGTGGTGAAAAATGAAGACTGGCACGAGTATTTTGCAGGACGACTTGAAGAGATTTTGTGTGTTGTCACCTGAAAGTTGCGGCCGAGGGCCTGGGTGGCGGCCGCGGCGAGGACCCTTGCTGTGCGCTCCTCCTCCCTGAGGCGCTGCTGGATGCGGTGGAGGCGGTCGTAGAGGCAGAGGCCGATGCAGGTGAGCACCTCCTCCTGGGCGACCTCGAGGGTCTTGGCGTGGCGCTCCCTGCGGCTGCCGTTGAGCTCGGGTTCGGCGCGCGTGATGAGCTGCGCGACAAAGTCAGTGTTGCAGCGCACGTGCAGGTGCTTCTCCTCGGGGCAGAACTCGATGCCCTCGTACAGCGCCTTCTGGTAGCCCTTGAGCTCCTCGGCGGTGGGCTGCGCCACCCCCTCGGGCGGCGCCGCCGCCTCCCCGTCGGCGGCCACCAGCAGCGAGTACGCCTGCAGCACCTTGGAGCGGCACTCGGTGCAGAAGCGGTGCTTGCGCAGGTACGCCTCCAGCGTGTGCAGCAGCACCGACGTCTCCACCAGCAGCGCCTCCTCCCGGCACACAGAGTGCATCGCGCCCCACACGTCCAGCCAGCTGCCCACCGTCCCACCCCGGTGCCGCTGCGTCTCCAGCGAGTGTAGGCTGCACCGACGGCTCTTCTTCGACCTCACCTGGCCCTCCACCAGGGCGTTCATCCTCGAGCTGCAGACAGAAATTAATAATCAGCAATTCTAAAGTCATTTTCTAAGTCATCAGTGAATAATTTTATAAGAAGAACAAAATCTTACAAAACTACGACACAAAGTTATTGTTATTTAATTTCTATTGAAAAAATTTAAATTAATTGTGATTAAAAATGGAATTCAAACAAAAGAATAGTTCCGAGGATCTAATTATTATTTGCTGTTACTCTTAAATATCTTTTTTTCTTCCTAGTTTATAATGACAATGTGTACAAATGAACAACAAGAATTACTCATAACTCTTCTCATTTGAAATGAAATCTCCGCAATGGGTCCTAATTTTGGGGAAAATGATTTGTAAATTATTATAATTTCACTTCTTTTTAATTAAAATAAGAATCTAGAGAGAATCACTTCAGAATAATTAGAAATATAAATAGGAGGATAAAACATATTCTGGTGATAACAAAATAATACAATTGCAACTGAACAAAATTGTAATGTAGAAAAGAATCAGCCTCCCTGCCGATTAGTGAATGGAACTTTAAAAAAGAGGATTTAGTATGTTTTCTTTATGGTGTGTGTATTTATGAATTTCTAACCAGGACGCATTAAAACTGCAGCTCAATAGACGAAGTTCGATAAGTATACCAATGATAATTACAAGAGAATCAATCGTAACGCTTATTATAATTTTTCCTAATCAAACTGAAATCTAATAGAATTTTCTTTAATTTTGCCATTCCTGACAACTTTGATGTTACTTAATAAGGGTGAGCATTAGCATTTATCGAATTTGGACAGCACCCCTGGGATGTGGAATAAAATCCAAGTTTTGAGTAGGTCAAAATTTTCATGAGTGATCAAGAACTTTTTAAAATACAAACCATTCAGGTGATGAAAAATTAGGCATGATAACCGTTTTCAAAAACAAGAGTCAAAAATAAATATTCAAAATTCAATGTTCTTCAAAAAAATTTAGCTGCATATAAATTTTTTAATCTTTTTCTTCCTCTTTTGGGGACAAGCTTTTGATAAATTGAATGTATAGTTACTGTAGGAAAAATTATCAACCCGTGTTGAATTTCAATCTGCAGTTTTGACGCGTCCCTTTTAAAAATTCATCTTCTCAGTTTTGCTCTTACTTGTAATCATGCAGCAAGGCGCACATTGTCTGAGGACAGGCCAGGGCATCTGAGCAGACGCTCAGGTAGCCCTCCTTTGTAACCTCCATTGGATCAAAAGTTGGGTGGCCGTACTTTTTCAGCATGTAGAACATCTTCTCAACGCTGCAAATAAGACAATTATATATACACCTGACGTTGGCCCAGAAAAAAAATTCACCTCCTGCGACAGCCGACGCAGGGAATCGTTTGGCTCAAAATGTCCAAGAGATCTTTGCAGGTTACTTGGAATGCATTCTTGATGTCCTCCGTGGACAGCATGTTGTATTTCTGCATGAAGCCATCAAAGTCCTTTCCCTTCTGGATCGGCACGTCGCACAGCAGATTCGAGTCGCTCAAATCCATGATCATCTGAAAATAAAAAAAATTTAATGTACTCATGACACTCGAAAGCAATTTTCTTTTTCGTTCGAAACATGTGTTGCGAAAGTGACGTCACTTTGAAAGTTCGATTGACTCGGGCCGGTCAGATTAAAAGTCGAATCGAACTGAGAGTTGCGTCAGAGGTCCAATCGCGATTACACGCAGGAGCCATCGAAGGTTTTGATTGTCAGGTAAAAGGTACGTAGGTATGTACCACACCACTCCTCATTTGCATTACTAAATCCAACATGGCGGCTAAGCATTGTGCTACATTAGCCGTCTCATGCTTCGCAGCTCGCGGATCGGAGCCTTCAGTCAAAATCGGTCCGCCGGGCCCGAGACTCGCGAGTCGGACGTCCGATCGACGACTTGCGGACGTGCCGTTGGTGGGGAATAGGAAATGATCAGCTTACGGTGAGGTTCTCGTCGACATCCAGAGGCAATTGCCTCTTCTTGATGAGGTTGTTTTCCTCCGTCAAGTAAACGTCCACCAGCTTGGCCATTGCTCGCGGTTTCGTGTTAGTCAGCGGCGATCAATTAAAATTCCCTACAAGACGCGTGCGAACAGCAAAGTTAGCATAATGAGCAGTTTTTCGGTGAAACGGGCCACACAAGCCGACTCAGGCACCCCTAACGTGAGTGCTCTGAACGGGATGGAAAACAAGGCAAACTCGGTATTTTGCTCGAATCATGGAGCCATCTGTCGAGCAAAAGAGGAACCCCGAAGCGGAGCGGTTTTCCTTAATAAACCGGTTTTATTCATTACAATTTCCTACAATATGAGATATGAGAATTCAGTATTATTTTAAATAATTTTCACTATAATATTAGTAAATTAACTATTAGTAATAATAAAGAACAAATATTAATTTGAAAACTTCATGATATTCAAAACATTAATTCGTCTGATAATTCTAAAATTACCGGTTGGTTAGAAATGAAAAAACCGAGCTACTGAAAGGTTGGTACTGTTACTGTTGGTAGCTCTGGAAAAACAAGAGGCGGACCGACTCCAACGGAGTGTGTAAACGTTTGTCAAAAATCCTGTTGTTGGTGAGTATTTTTCAGGATAGGCATTTTTAGCACGTCCTTAAGTAGATAATTGGCAATGTCAGTCAAAATCCACACACAGGAGACGCACGAACGTGAAGGAAATTAGAGGCTAAAACAATATTGCACTCTGTCAAGTTGGCGGCGCGGGAACGTTGGCTGCACTTTCGACGGTGCAATTTGTTTTTGTCCTCGAATTCGCCTGGAATCGTTCACGCCGATTCTTTTTGCCGAAGCTAGAGTGGCCGAAATTGGAGTGCGGCGATGAGGCCGAGGTGCGGAAAGGTCGCGTCGTAGGTGGAGGTCGCCGGCGGAGCATGGACGCGGTGCAGAGCATCGACTACATCGACGGCATCACGCTCGAGATGCTCGTGGACGGCGGCGACCTGCTGGACGAAACCAGCACCGTCCTGTACGACGAGTCGATGCACTACGAGGAGGAGGACGCCGCCGAGCAGGACGACGAGGACACGGTCGTCCTGTCCGACGACGACGAAGACGACGACGACGAGCCGGACGACGAGATTCCCACCTGCGAGGACGGCGACGACGATGAATGGGAGGTGCAGGACGACAACATCAACAAAAACCGCAAGGTGCCTCTTGACCTGCCGGCCGAGCTCAAGAAGCACCTCGAGATCGATCACTTCCAGGTCCGAATCAATTCCCAATTGCACGCTTTATATTTAATACTAATTTCAGGTGGTCACTTGTGATAAACTGGTGAATCTTCCGTGCAATCCGTGCGTGAACCTGATCCTCGAGTCGTACTACAGGGAGTACGCCTGCGAGATTCTTCAGTGCGACGAGGAACCTGAGGAAAACGAGCACCGACACGTGCGCGACTCGGGCGCCGGCAAGGAAACGCGAAACCTTTCCAAGTCGCTGCGGCTGCGACGTCAACGGCAGCGCCGCCTCAGCAGCGAGTCGAGTGCGGACCTCGACGAGGACAAAGACTTTGAGGAAATTCTCAGGAACCTGCGCATCTGCCTGGAGGTGCTGCACAGCATCAGGTGAGGATCGAGTTGGGCCAAATTTTAAACTAGACCACGAACGGTTTCAACCTTGAAAAATTTCTGTCAATGTAAAATTTTCGGGACGAATTATAACACATCTTCTGGAATTTCTCACGGTTTTCCTCTACCCTTGCTAGGTAAAAAATAACCTGCGAAAGGTGACACACTTTTTCTTATTTATTGTAGTAATTTTTATATTTCTTGCACAAACATGAGACTTGTTAGGAAATTTAATAAGCTTCAAAGGTCTCGCCAAGTTTTTTATTTTTAAATAAGATAAACTTTGGCGCTAAAATTAAAAAAAAAAAGAGAGAGAAATGCTTCAATAAAACTTTTTAGACAAATTTTAAAAATTTATAAAAGCCGAAATGTGAAGAAATTGCATTTGCTTCCCTCTGCCAGCCTTCATTTCTACTTTTTTTCATTTGGGTCTAGAAGAAATTTTGAAGTGGTCACAACGTGAAAAATTATATTCTCTGGTCTCTGCAAGTTTTATGTGAAACATTTTTCTCTGAATTGTTTTCCACAACAGCTACAGCTAAAAAACCAATAGAAAATGAAAAAAATTGACATTTGTCAAAAAGAAATTGCAATTTTGCTGTTGGCAAAAATTGTCTGACTCAAGAAAACTTGTTGAGTTTTTTAAATAGCTTATTAAGGGTGAGTCCGAATATGAGAGAATTGATTCTCGAGAAGTGATTCTCAAGGATCGATTCTGTGGTGGTTTTTCAATGGCAGAAGCGTTTTTCTAGAATCGCTTCTCGAAAATCACTGCAAGAATCGATTCTCTCATATTCGAACTCGCCCTAATGTTCCTATAAACTGGCATTGGTGTCACGTTAAATAGAAAAATTGGCACAAAAATTACTATGCCAACTTTCAAAGGTTTTACCTTGAAAGGGGAGCGGCAGGGGAAAACCTGGGGAAGAATCTAAAAAAGATGGTGGAATATTACACTGGTAGTTATTTTTCCCTGGTTACAAAAGGCAAAATCCTTTTGATTCGTGGACTAAAGTATTGTCTTCAGGTACTACATCGACTTCACCCTGGGGGACCACCTGCTGTACCCTTCGGAGAAGCAGCAGCACCAGTACGTGGTCACCGCCAGCAAAGCAAGTTTGCTATACGTCAAGCAGGAGCCCGTCGAGAGCATCGAGGAGTACAGCTCGAGTTTGTTCGACAAAATCACCATGCTGGACACGGAGGACAAGTCCGAGACGGAGGACGACCTGCTTGAAATCCTCAGCTCCAACGACCAAAGCTTCACCAAGAGGTGGAACGACTTTTTGGGCAACGACGAGTCCGAAGGGGGCAAACTGACTGAGGACGACTGCAAGCGCGACAACAGCGAGGCGGGGGTCAGACATTGTTTTTTCTTAAACGTTTTCATTTCTGATTTGGTTGATTCCAAATTCATTTCGGTCCAGTTCAAAGATTAAAGAACTCAGGGTAAAAAAATCCTCCATAAAATCTTTTAGCCTAGGCCTTGAGGATCATTTTTAATGCTAGGAAAATTGGGAAATTTTGAGATTAGTAGAACTGAAGGTTGGAAAACTTGGTTTGTGCATTTTTCGAAGCACTTTCATTTAAATGATTTCTGCATCAAAAAAAAAAACACAATAGTATGAATTTTTGTTTGTATTATCCTCAAGTAATGATACAAATATTTTATGTTTGTCAAATTCCAATATATTGGTTTACTAAAACTGCTGCCAAATTAATTCGGGATAAGATTTTTTAATTTTCTCATCTGTAAGTCAAAGCTTATGAAACAAAGTATCATTCTTAATGGTCATGAAGTATCTAGGTCAAAGATCATTGACCCTGGCAGGAGGTCCAATTATTATTTTTGTTTTTGCTCCTTGAAAATGGGCAACCTGATTAAACATTTAAACAAGCCCTTATGAAAATATTATTGATTTAAAATAACATTTGAAAGACTTTTTGAACAGTCAGATAAGTAAAAAATTGGAAACTTAAGCTTTTTCTATAAATAAAAGAAATTTACCAGGTTTTATTGTATTACAGTCAAATTTTATGAAATTTAAAAAACTTGCTAGAAGTTGAAGTCAATTTATTCTCTTGCAACACTTCATACAGAAAAGTCACATTGGGAGGGAATTGGTAGCTTACTAAACTCATAGACCCAATTCTGAAGCAAAAGTGTTTCCAAATTAAACCTTCTTGCCGAGCTGGAGCCATTTCATCTACTTAAAGTTAATTTCTGCTTGCAGGCTGAGTCGCTGGCCGAACTCGCTCCGTTTGTGAGGCGCCGGAAGGAAATGCTGTCAAAAATCCAGGAGTGGAAACTAGTCCCGGACGTGGAGGTGGACGAAGACGGAGAAGACTCGACGCCCAATTCTCAAATCTACGGTGCCGTCCACCTGGCCAGGCTGATGGTCAAACTGCCAGAATTCCTCTACCTCACCAAATTCCCGAGCGCAGGCCACCTCAAGGCCGTGCAAAGGCATCTCAACCTCTTCATCAACTATTTGGCCAACAAGTCCAACTGGTTCCAGGAAAACCAGTACCGGACCAACCATTTCCACTCGTAGCCACAACACAACCTGACTTTTTATACTCTCATTTGTACATGTGTGTGGATTTAGGACTGACAAACGCGCCAAATCAGATCTCAACCAATTTTTTTGCCTTTTTGTAAATACATTGCATTTTTCACAGATATTTTGTTTCTTGATAACAAGGTGTGGAGCCAAGGATGTATGAAATGGAGCACATGGGTATGCATATCCTATTGTTAATAATTTGGAACTGGGAAAAAATATAATTTGTCTTGATTAATTGCAGACGTAGACGTGGTAGGCATGGACGTTGAAATCGAAGAAGAGGTGATTCCGAAAAAGCGGGTCAAGAAGCCCAAGCACAAGAAGCGGGACTCGAAGGCTCCGGAAGACTCTGGCAGCGAAGAAGAGGTCCCTGTCAAGGTCACTCCAAAAAAAGCGACGCCTCCAAAGAAATCTCCGGCCAAAAAGCCTGAAATCGAACCTTTGAGAATATCCGAGCGGACGCCAAAACCGTCCCTGAAGCTGAAGGAGGCCGAGTCAAGCGCCCACCTTCTGGAGAGGTCGGCAGGTCATCGACCTTCGCCCAAAGTCCGGGAGGCAGAGCAGGAGGAGGCGGGGAGGTCTTCGGAGCGCACGCCCAAGCCGTCCTTGAGGCTGAAAATCAAACTCGCCGAAGCTGCAGAGGTCAAGTTGAAATCTCCGAGCAAAAGTGCTGAGAAACCCTCTGCAGTGGTTGCGACAGCAGGTCAAAGTGTGCCCAGCCCGGGCACCTTGAAACCGCAGATGCCGGGCAGCAAGAAGAAGAAAGGCAAGGGCAAGGAGAGCGGCGGGTCGTCCGACGAGGAGAGGTGGCTGGACGCGATCGAGTCGGGCAAACTGGAAGAGGCACTCAATTGCTCTTGATTTGTGAAATTGTTCTTACGTTTGGTTTGCGCAGGTTGACGACGAGCTGAAGAAAATAAAAGACCCGAAGCTGATGACGGCGCGCCAAAGGGCAATGTTTGAGAAGAAGAGCGACGTGCCCGGAGAGGAGCAACCGCTGATGGCCCTTCCGTCCGGCTACAAGGAAAAGGTGGTGACCGAGGAAATGTTGCAGAAGAGGGCCCTCAAGTTGCAGCGCCGCAAGCAACAGGCCGAGGAAAAGAGAGAAAAGGACAAGGTAAATAAAGAAATATTTCAACTTCGAACAAAATTCATACCAGCTGAAATTTTTACCATCCATTGAGCCATTTCCCAGGATTTCCCCTGCAGCTACCCTTTCTAGCTGTACAAGTACCTTTGAAAGGTGGCGTATTTTTACCCTTTTGCAGTAATTTTTTGATCGCCGAGATCAACGCCAATTGATAGGAAATGATAAGCTTTAAAAACCTCGCCAAGTTTACTCAAAGTATTCAATATTTTGCAAATTTTTTATTGATTTTTTTTAGCTTAAGTTCTTCTACAAAGCATTTTAAAGAAAAAAATTTTAAAGAAAGCTGTAGAAAATTTAACTTTGCCCACCTTATGTTTTTAACACTCTAAATCAAAATCGACACAAATTATATTACTGGAAAGGTTTCAATCCGATTAAAAATAAGCTTTTCTGCCTATGAGTGAAAATCAAACATTGGCAAGACTAGAAGGCTCAAAATCATCTGAATTTTTGTTTATTTAAAAATCCTGCATATTAAGTAATTAATCCTTGGTCAAGTTTTGTATCAAACTTGTTTTACTTCATTGAGCTATTGTTTTACAGTAGAGCTAGAAAACCAATAAAGTGAAGAAATGATTTATCTTTGCTTAACCCCCTTAACCACTCTGCATTTTGTGGTGCCAAAAATGTATATTTGTGGTAAGCTTGATAAGGTTTATAAGTATATTGTAATTTTATTATCATCAAGCTTATTGAATATCCTCTTGATTGACGTTGTTTTCATGTTCCTGCAAAAAATTATTACTATTTCTGCAACAAATAAAAAATACGGTACTATTAAAAGGTACTTTTTTACCTCGAAAGGTTAGCAACAGGGGAAAACCTTGGGAAGTCCCAGAAAATGTATCTCAAATCTCAATGCACCCCCAATAGACGGTTAAAATTTCAGACTGGCATGAATTTTTTCCTGGTTAAATTGAGCAAAATGCTTTTGATTCCTGGATAGAAAAGATTAACAATTTGTTTTGCAGAAAATGACCATGGACAGGTTGCTGAAGAAACAGGCGTCCAAGTCGAACAAGCCGGCGACTAAGAAGAGCAGCGTCGCCTCCCTCGAACCACTTTTGCTTTTGGTGCACAACGAGAACGCGACAACGATCAGTTTCCCCGTTGGAACGGACGCCCCCGTGCCACAAAACACTCCGAGGTGAGAAAGTGGAAGAGCCTTTGCAATTGGAGGTGCTAATTTTTGCATTTCAGGTGCGTCCCGCTGCCAGTGAAGTGCGCCGTGTCTGGCTGCAAGAACGGCAAGAAGTACTCGTGCTCGCAAACAGGCGTGCCCTTGTGCAGCTTGCAGTGTTACAAAGCCAACCTCGCCTCCAAAGGACTGCAAGTGTGTCAATAATGGACTTTATTAAGCCTATTGGCAGTTTCAACGATTTAGAAGTGGATCTCTGTTGCAATGACGGCGACTCAAAAGCTAGTGTGGTGCAGGCCAAATTTTTTAATAGTGGAGGATAAAGTTGGCCTGGGCCAGCTGAGGCTTTTGGATCCCCCTCAACTTGTACAAAACTGACTTTTGATTGATTTTCAAGGCTCTGTTATCCATCCCATCATCACACTTTGTACATTTGTGTAAATCTCGATGTAATTCAACTTTTCACAACTTAATAAAGGTTAAATTATTTTGATATTGGCTGCGGTTTATTTTCAAACTTGTAAGAAAAGTGCGTTTGATAAAAACAATGGTTCAGCAGCATAATTTGCAGGCCTCCAGCATCCCTGGGCAGAGTTGGTTCCTTTCGAGGTGATCCAGCAAACATAATTTAAGTTGTGTTGGTTTTCAACAAGTAAAATGATGATCGACATTTTTATTTCATTACATTACAAAGGAAACTTTTAATAAATAAATATAGACCTCCAATATTAACGTTTTATTAATCAGGCAAATGCATTTTGTACGCGCAGCCCTTGATAATGATCTTGCAAGGTTTTGACAAAAAATTGCCTATCTTCCTTAGCAATACCAAGATGAGACCACAAATGAAATGATTTGAGTTTAGGAAAGATCAAGAAATCCTGCACATCAGGCACAATCGAGTCCAAGTGCAGCTCAAGTTCGGCCAAATTGGGCAGCAAATGGGCGAGTTGCAAAGAGGCCACTTTGGACGCGCTGACCTTGGCAAAGGTCAAGCCCAGGGGCGGTTTGAGCAGTCTGAGGCCCTCGGACATGTCCTGGACGCACAGCTCGTGGCCGGTGCTCTTGACCCTGCCCGCCCTGTGCAGCCTCGGCACCGACCAGAGCAGACTGTACAGGAGGACGTCCGCGCGCCGGACGCCATCCGAGCCGCGCTCGTCGTCGTTGCTGCTCTCGTAGAAAAAGAAGAACTCGCGCAGGTGCTCCATTTTGGCGAGGTGGCCGAACGAGCAGTCTCCGGACACGGTCACCGTCAGCTCCCTGCGCCAACCATCAATTTGTTAGTTAAGAGAAAATGAAACGAATGAGAAAAAAAAACAGAAAAAAATTACCTGATTTGGGGGAACTTGAAGGCGACGGTGGCAAGGTCGTGGGTGCCGCAGAACATCTGGCGCATGCACACCCTGACGAGGCTGGCGTTGGGCACGAGTTGCTGCGGCCGGATGGGGTCGACGACCGCCCCCGGCCAGTGGTCCAGCACCAAACTCGAGAGCCGGTGGACGCCCTTGCTCCTCAGGTCGAGCGCCAGGTCCACCGCCGAAAACGTCTCCACGCCCTTCAGGTTGACGTGCTGCGTGTTGCTGCCGATCAGGGCCATCGCGAACCAGTACGGAAGGGCGGAGGCCTGCCCTGATTCGCGGCTCGCTTCGAAAAACTTCTCTTTCACGCTCGCGGCTGCAAATTTGCAAATTTAAATTCATTTGGTGGTGAATGTGATTCGACTTACGCAAGCCTTGCAAATTCATGGGGGATTTATTCTGCGCAACAACACTGTAGTCGGTGATTTCCTTGTGGAATTTAACGATGAAGCGCAAACACAACTTCTCAAGGGTCTCCGCGGTGATGGTCATCTTGAGTTTTCACTTGCTGGGTAAAAAAATAATCAAAATTTGCAATTTAAATAATGAAATTTTATGTGGTCGTTATGTAACTCTTACTTTCGCACTTTACAAAATCTCTTTTGTCTTTAAAGCACTCCTAGCCGTGAACCATCGCAAGGGTCAAGGCAACTCGTCGTAGAATGGGCATGACTCGAAAATAAGGTTTTTCTCACGTAGTGCGACTTTGGTTGTTGTTGACATTTTCACAAATGAAGCCACGCCTACTTGGCCTCCGTCGAGTCCAACTCGGCAACAAAATCCGATCCTTCTTGTAATAGACGAAAGTTAAAAATTAGTTGACAATTGTTTTTAGAGCCCATATTACGATATTACACTTCGCGGAATTGTTTTTGAATAAAAATAATATCTGCAACAAGGAAAAGTCCGATCTCTTCATTCCCATGATCCTCTCCTTAAGTGTCAACTTCTTCAAACATGAATAAAAATCATATACACATAACATTTATCTGCACAATATTTATTTTAAAAGCAAAAGAAGCTTAAAAACTTAAATGATTGGGCAGTTATTTTCGATTGTTATGAATAATTTGAGCAGTTTATATAATTAAGTAAAAAAACTTGTTTTTACAGTTTCGAAACGTGTTGCCTGAAAAATCTGCTGTTATGCAACTTGCTAGTCGCGCATGAATTGCGGGCTTGCATACAAATCAGTGGTAAATTTTTTTCAAATAACGTCATTTATTTTGCGAGATAATCAGACGAAATTTTTATTACGATTATCGAAAACGCAGTTCAGCATTGCAAGATAGGAACACGGACGACGCTAAAATTAATAAAGAGTGACTCTTCCAGCTAAAAGTATTTGTCGGATTTGTCTTAAACTAATTGGCCAACTGAGAAAAAGTTCACGTTTAATTGTGTGTGATGTCGACGAGGTTTCATTTTCCACATGTCATATTAAAAAACGCTTTAACAAACGGACGGACGCTCTAGTTGCGATAAATAAAAGTTCTGAAAGCGATCACAGCGGCAGAAATAAAACTGGAGGTACGCCAAAGCACAAGTTTCAGTCAAAGCCGTAGATCCACTGGCCAAAGCTTTCCTGCCGAGATTTTGCGAGCGACGCCTCCAACTCGTCCAGCATTTGTTGCGGGCAGAACTTGAAACATTTCAAAGGTTAATTTTTAATTGCCAATTAATTAATTAAGTTTAATTGACACAAAACCACAAAGGCTGCGGTGAGTCTGATTGAAATTAAGGCCTGTGACATTCAATGCCAAGTCCAATATTTGCGTCGCAGTAAATTATTGAAGCTTCATTTCCGCAAATATATTGTGTCAATTTTTTGAAGCTGGGAGAAAAAATTTGTTTCTATCAAAAGGAAGTAATAATATTTTGAAAATGGTGAAAAACGAACCTTTCTGGCCCTGATGTCGGCGAAGTTGAAGTCCTTGAAGAAGGCGATGGTGTGCAGGGTGAGCAGGGAGCGGAGCCGTTTTTGGGGATCAGGGTGCAAGAGGCGGGCCAGCAGGTCCCTGCCCGCCGCGTCGCACCGTCCGGGGGCGGCGTCGGGGGCTGTCAGGGCCGCGGGGGACTGTCGGCGCGCCGGAAACTGCAAAAGCGACAAGGTCAGTGACATCGGCTCAATGTAGAAATATTTCTCTACATCTTCCTAATGTAGAGCCCAACCTTTCTATATAACTTATCATAGAATTATCAAGTTCTACATAATTGCTAGCTAGAAAGTTTAAATGAGATGAAAAATGGGTGATAAAATATTATTATGCTTCCAAATATAGAGATTTATTATCGTAAATTTAAAAAAAATCGGTTATTAAAATAAAAATATTATCATGTATTTTATATTTCAAAAAATCCGAATTAAAAAAATCAACTAAAATCGACTAATTTGACCAAAAAAAAGCTAAAAAGGCGACTTAATATCTGTAAAATCAGCTAAAAATAGTCGACTTTTTTACCCCTAAAAACCGAGTCCATCAGTGACTTGACATTCGCAACTCTTTCTTTTCCCGTAACTGTTTCCTAAAAATAGACTGCTCGAGTATTCCTACTTTATTCAACTTCCTTTCAAGGAAAATCGGTAAAAAGTTGCACAAATGGACGCGCGCGGACCTGTTTGTCTCATTCACAAGTTCGTTCATTTCATCACATCGACATTATCTCAAATCAATTTCCTAGTAACATTTTTTGGAAATTTCCACCCCACTTTTAATTTTTAATTCAAGCTAGCCCATAATTTCATTTAAAAGCTTTTGAGATATGCAACTGGAGGATATAAAATTCAAAAGATAGCTTTCGAATAAATTTTACGTTCATGGAATAATATCGCAATTTAATTTGTCAAATCTCTCTTTGCATTTATTTGTAAATGAGAGGAATTCATGATGTGTTTCTGATTTTTGGTTCAACTTCCTGGAATTTGTCTAACACTCTTTCTTGACGCACAAACACAGTTGTTAGGATAGGAAGGAGGCCGGGTTATGCTTGCGTGCAGCGCGTGTGAATTTTCGCAAATTGGTAATTAAAAGAAATAGGAACTTTGGATTGACACAAATAGGCAGGAAGAAGTTTGCATTAATTTGTTGCTAAAGTGACTCGAACGGTGCAGCGAATTAACATAATTAGTCTTTGTCGGACGACGAGTGCAATAAAAATTAGCGATGCAGAATGAATTACGAGAAGGACGCGGCGGCCATAAAAACTATTATACAAGTAGCGCGCGCAATTAATCACAACGCAGGCAATGAATAAAATTAATCCTCGTCGCTTTTCATCTAAACGCGGAACTGCAAGAAAAATATCCTTTTTCTGAATATTTTTGAAAAAAAAATGGATTTTTTTGCATTTTTTGCTTATTCCGAACAAAATTTCGGCAAAATTTTGATATTTAATTATTTCGTGAAAAAAGATTTGGAGAGGGTGGGCTGAATACTGCGAGCCTGTCGAATTATTCATTTGCACGATGGAAATGCGAAAGGAGTGAGTTGCTTGGTCCGTTATGAGAGACCAGTTATTTTGAATGGAAAAATAACAAAGCATTGCAAGTAAAAATCGCGCATAAAAAGTGGCTGCGCACAGTGATTAATCTTCTTTTTATTTTCACTTCCAAATTGAGACGTCGCTTTCAACCAAGAATAACAAAATCGTAACGGCGCTAATTAAAATTATGGACAAACGAGTGCAAAAGTAAAAAAGCGGCACGGCCAACAACGTGTCACGCAAATCAACTTGTTCGTTCCCCCAGATTGCGCTTCAGCTTTTGCGCAAAGTTCAACAACAGGGAAAATGAGAAGCAAGTGCGTAGAATCAACAAAAAAGAGAACAGTCTTTTTTTATTCACTTTCAAGACTTTATGAGTTTTTACGGTGTAAGAAAGGGATTTTCCTAAGCAATCGTTTTGGTAGCAGTCAAAACTGCGCTTGAACTGGTTGGAATTAATCCTTTTAGAAATTTTACAGGAGGCAATAAATAAAGTGCAGTCATGAAGAGATCGGGCTTTTCCTTGTTGATTTTATTAAAAAACAAAACGGCTCTATTAGTTTCAATCACGGTCTGCGACCTTATTTCATAAGCAAGAAACATACAAAAAAAATCAGCAAAATTAAAAAACCCACATTTTAATACAACGAGGAAGACTTCCATGATGATCTTGTTGAGAGTCAATTTCTTCAAAAAATAAATAAAGCAGAGAAAAGTTCTCCTTATAAAAGTATCCAAATAAAAATTCTTTTTAAAAATTTCTAAGTTTGCATGAAATAAAAATTGAAATAAAGTAAATAGCATTTAATTTTTGTCATTTAATGCAAATAGTTATAATTTTGTAATGCTTGATGATTAAAATTTAAATAAAACGTTAATAATATTGTGTAATTAATGAATTTTCAATTTTGTTCATGACATTGACTATAAATTGGAACACTGTCGTTAGTCGTTAGCATCTTGTATATCCATTATATTTTTGGTATTATATAATCAATAATAACATAAGATTTAAAATGTGTTAGGGTATCAAAAGTTCGCCCATAGTTTTGTGTTGGTCAAGCACCCTTCTTTGCGTAATTGACCAAAAACCTGAGCGGAATTTTACTGCGAGACAAAGCGATGTTTCAAAAATTGCCTGAAGATTGCATTTGCAAGCAAGAAAGTCTGAACGAGCTTAAAAAGTGGTTGCCTTTGCTGCAGTTCCTGTTTCCATTCAAGTGAAATGCGACGAACGTGTCAAAAGAGATAAAAGATTTCCCACGTGGTGACCTCTGTGCAACGAATCAACGCCAATTTATCACCTTTTCAAAAGTCAATTAAAACGCGATTACTGCACAAGTTCAATAAAACTGCGCATCAAATTTATTTCCACGCAGATAAATTTTCTGCTGCGAGACTTTTAATATGCGCAGCCATAAATATCCGCTCTCTGGCAATGCGAGCAGGTAATTCTCGTTTCATTCGAAATCTTCGAACCGCCGACAAAGAAGCCGCCGTCCGTCTTCAGACTCGCGCAGCTCTTTCAAAAGTACCAAGATTCGTGGTGCAATATTTCTGCTTTTGGTATTTCACTTCGCAGAAGTGAACCTCGGTAAAGTCAGCTTAGATGGTTTGATTTTTCCAGAAGGTAATTTTTTCACCCTTTATAGCCTTTAAAGGTTCCAACTTTTTGGTCACTAATCGATTCCTCTCAACACGTCGGCTTGAGAACTTTGTATCAAGTTGGAAGTCCTTATTCTGATTTCTGATGCAACTGCGTGTGACCTTTGTTGACCCTTCAATTTTTCCGCAGTATTTAAATCAATTGGCAAATTTCTGATTTTCTTGGCAAATTTAATTTTTGGATAATTAGAAAATCGGAGAAAGGGAATTTGCAAATGAATCAAATTCATTGGAATCAAAAAAGCAAACCCAAAATTTGCGAAACTTTGTCGCTATTCGAACTGCGACTGAACTTGCTTGAAAGAGTTGGGAAAACGAAGTTGGGGCTGCAATTAGCGGATGGGAAAAAATTTGCCGGCCGGCGGGACGGACGCGGGACAACAATGCGTGAGACAAGCCAGCGTGCCGGCGGCGGCTCAATTGGCGGCCGAGTGAGGTCAGCGCGGCGCCGATGTGTCCACCCAGCCTCCGGCGCGCCACTTCTTTCTTCTCAAAGTCAACGCACGCATCGCTCCTTATTAGGAGCTCTTCTTATTCATTTATCAGCATTTCACTTCATCAACGACTAATGTCACCCTGCTAATTAACCGCCGCGCGCACCAATTTCCCAATCTGACCTTGTCTCTTTTTTCATATGAAATAAATATTACAACAAAGAAATAGACATTTTCCAGATTACTCAGCACGTCACATGAATTCACAGCAAAATTTACAAAAGGGAATATGATTTTGCAAAGGTTTAAAGAGGATGCAACGATGCAACCACCTCTGGGCATAAAAATCATGCGCAAAAACTAATAGCTAAGGCCTTAGGCCATAAAGATCATTTTGAAAACTAGAAAATTGATGCGGTCACCGCGATCAACTTTTAGAAAATATCTTGAAGCATTGCTTTTTTTTGGAAAATATCTCAGTTTCCAGCAAATTGAGCTATTTTTGAGATCTTTGTATCAACTCATATTGAAAACAAAGTTATAAAAATTAATATTATGGTTCTTAAAATACCAAGGAATAAATATCATATTATTAAAAAGAAAAAATTAAATTCCTGTATCATCTGCCCCATTCGAGCATCCAGCACGCCGAAAAAGTCAACATCCCAAACCGAGAAACAAATTTCAGCTACATGAATAAATAATGCAATTTGCTTTTCATTAAAGGGTGAGTCAAAAATTCAATTGTTTCTAGCTTGGCCAAATTAAAAGGAATCAACGAACCAGAATTTTTTTCAGTATCTCTGGACCCTTCCAAGTTTCAAGAACGCATAAAAAGGCATCTAACCTTGCCAAAAAAAATTCGTCAGCTAAATGAAAATAAAAAAATAAAATTTGCTTTTAATTAAAGGGTGAGGCAAAAATTCAATTCCGGCGCATGGGGTCTTTTTGATCTTGGATTTTAGCAAAATTCTTTCTAGTGGGTGGTTTCGTATTGTCCACACCAATTCCTTTTATGCAAAAAAAGTGTTTTCAACTATTGAATGTAAACAATGTGGACAAATAAACAACAATAATAATAATACTTCAACAATCGCCAATGAAATGTATAAAATGCAAATTTGATTTTGAACGTTCCCTTTGCTTTTCCTCAAGCAAAGGGAGGTCGAAGTCGAGTGTGATTTGGTGCGGCCATAATTACAGCCGTGGTCTAGTCTAGGCGTTTTTTGCACTTCTGTCCCTCCCCGCGGACGATTAAATAGTTATTTTTTGCTCACACGCCGTAGTCACTGACCTGCGGCCGAGCTTTTTTCTTTTGGTCGTTGCAGTGAACGCAACACCCCCGTTAGACGTTGGCGTGCAAACGTTTCTCGTTGGGGTTATTTTATGGCACTCGCGCTAGAGAGCGATTATTAATCCTTGGGCGCAGCGGGAGAGCCGCGATTGCCGCCGCTATTGAATAGAGATCTATTGAAAAGAAAAAAAAACACCCGTCGCTGCCAATCAAATCGCA